CTGCAGAGAGGGGGATCTCTGTAGGGCTGGGCCCCCATGATGGGGACAGATCTGCCCCATCACCCCATTAGCCCCCGGTGGCAGAGGGACAGGGACTCACAAGTACTCATCATGCCGCAGAGGGCCTTGAAGCTGAGGACAATGTAGCAGAAGTGGAAGAGGAGTGGGAAGGCGCGCTCACACCTGTCCTTGGTCTTGTCTATGTAGCGAAAGCATCTGCTCTTGGGGTCCCCCAGTTCACGGTTACAGATGTTACCAGCCCTCGACAGCCACAGCCAAACGTTGCGCAGGGCCCGGGCTGTGGGCAGGGAACGAGCATTGGAGACAGGGATGGTCTGAGGGGAGGGTAAGGGCTGCTGGGGCTGGGGACACCCCCAGGGCTCCAACACTCACCAACGTGTCTGGTGGAGTCCATGATGGAGCGGACAAATTTACGGACACGGTCACCCAGCACCTTGGCATTCTGGCCAATATCCTTAATTTTCTTCTGCACGTCTGCAGAGAGAGGGGACACCTGAGCACACCCCAAAGAGTGAGGGTAGCCTGAGGCTGTCTGTGGCTCCCCCAGGAAGGGCCTCTCCCATCCCTCCACCTTCCCCCAGGCCCCTGCTCACTCAGCAGTGGCTCCTTGGCACGTTGCAGCCGCTCGGCCGTCTGGTTTCGGGCCAGTTCAGCCCCACATGACAGCGCCTTGGCGACCTGGGAGACGTTGTGCAGGAGATTGGTGCCAGGGCCTTGCACGGTCAGGCACAGCGCCAGCATCATGATCAGTATCTTCCCCTCCCCTGCGAAGAAAGGGCAAGAATTAGTCTCATATTCTGACAGGAAAGATTCAGTCTCATAATCTGACAGGAAAAAATCAGTTTTGTAATCTGACAGGAAAGATTCAGTCTCATAATCTGACAGGAAAGAATCAGTCTCATAATATGGCAGGAAGGAATCAGTTTTGTAATCTGTCAGGAAAAAATCAGTCTCATAATCTGACAGGAAAGAATCAGTGTCATAATCTGACAGGAAAGATTCAGTCTCATAATACGGCAGGAAAGAATCTGTCCCATAATCTGACAGGAAAGAATCAGTTTTATAAACTGACAGGAAAGAATCAGTCTCATAATATCACAGGAAATAATCAGTCTCATAATCTGCCAGGGAAGAATCAGTCTCATAATCTGACAGGAAAGAATCAATTTCATAATCTGACAGGGAGAAATCAGCCTCATAATCTGACAGGAAAGGATCAATTTTATAAACTGACAGGAAAGAATCAGTCTCATAATCTGCCAGGGAAGAATCAATCTCAACATTTGACAGGAAGAATCAGTCTCATAATCTGACAGTGAAGAATCAGCCTCATAATCTGACAGGGAAGAATCAGTCTCATAATATGACAGAAAATAATCAGTTTCATAATCTGCCAGGGAAGAATCAGTCATATAATATGACAGGGAAGAATCAGCCTCATAATCTGACAGGAAAGATTCAGTCTCATAATCTGCCAGGGAAGAATCAGTCTCATAATCTGACAGGAAAGATTCAGTCTCATAATCTGCCAGGGAAGAATCAGTCTCATAATCTGACAGGAAAGAATCAATTTCATAATCTGACAGGGAGAAATCAGCCTCATAATCTGACAGGGAAGGATCAGTCTCATAATATGCTCACTGGTGAAGACGTGCGGCAGCGCCAGCAGCACCACCATCCGCGCCTTGGTGGAGAAGGCCATGCCCAGGCCCATGCCCGCGCCCAGGAAGACGGTGATGCCCAGGCAGTACCAGACGTTGTGGCCCTGCACCAGCAGCACCAGAGCTCCATAAACACCGGCCAGAAGCAGGCCCAGCGTGAGGCCGCCCAGGCTGCGGGCGAACTCCTGAGCTCCGCCGCCATCCTCCGGCCTGCGCCGGCCTCCGCGCCGCCGGTTCTTGCGCAGGCCCCGCAGGGCTTTGCCCAAAGCCGAGACCAGCCTCATGCCCGGGCTCCTGGTTCTCCCTCCAGCTCCACGTCCGTGGGAGAAGGGCAGAACCAGCGAGAGGTTTCCAACGTGCCGCCCGCCACACTCAGGCCTTGCTCGGTTTCCGTTGGGCTCGGCAGTTTCGGTTGCGCTCTGCTGAGGTGGCTGGGGTGGAACACAAGCTTCCTCAGAGAACGAAAGAAATGCAGGGGTTTGTCAGGGAAATGAAGCCACAAACATCAGAGGTTTATGTCCAAAAAGAAGACACAGGAGTCCTTTTACTTTATTCGAATAAAGGGAGAGGCCTATCGCTTCAATGGGGCATTCCTCCTGGGTCTCTCCAATTTTTGTCCTAATTTCCCGGCCACATTTCCCTTCTCTTTTTCCCCATGGCTGAGGTACTTGAGAGGTTCAGACTTCCCAAAACGTCTGATACCAAAGATTCTCCTCTAATGTATAACCCGCCTTTTTAATTTTTAATTCTTACAGAATTGAGGGTTTTCTGCCCTTGTTTCTGTCACCTTTTGTGAAAAACGCTAATTACTTGGTTTCTAAAAATTTTAAAAGTTTAATAATAATAAAATGGTTATCAAAATAGTAATACAATTAGAGTAATAAAGTTTAAACTTAGGGTTTGGCCACACAGCCACGAGATGGAGAGGAACAAACAAGGCCAAGCATCAGCCAAAAGGGCAAAGAGGCTAATTGCAGCAAGGGAAGGTCACAACCACCGAGTCAAGAAACCCACTGACCCAAAAGGAGAACGCTGGGCATGCACCCTAATTAGCGTGAGAAGCAAGAGAATCATTTAACCAATAGAAGAGAAAATACTAATTAATACTAATTAATGAGGAACTGTGTAACTTGCAGACCATGAATGTTTAATACTTGTTTGCACAAGTGTAGAAATGTCATAGTTGAGAGAGAGAAAATACAAAGCAACACACTCCATTTTCAGAAGGCTTCAAACCTGGTTTTATTCTAGTATGCATACTTTTTCTACATTTTTACAAAACTCCTAAGTTTACACTTAACTCATTGGTCAGGAAAGACAAACAAATTGCTTATTGGAGGAGGCAGTTGCAGGTTTCTCTTATTTATCCTTCTTTCTTTCTTGGTTTCTATGTCAACAGCCTTGGTGGAAAATTCTTTCAGGGGTAAACGTGGATTTTCTTCTCAAACCTCTCTGCTCACAGAAGTCACTGTAAAACCTCTTCCACATAGAAATATGTCAGAATCTGTGGTATTGATGATTCCGAGATTGTAAAAGTCTCTGTCTTTGTGTCCTGTTGCCAAAGAAGAAGCCATAATTCGTCTGTGCTGGTTTCAAGGTTGTTTATTCTGTTTATCTCTAACATGTTCTGCTGCCCTGCCGCAGCTCTGTCCTGCAGGGCAGCGTGTGGGGCTCTGCCCTCAGTGGGATGTTACAAACATTAAATACCACAAACTACCTGTGCTGGATTTACAATAACGTGCCAATATCTGTCACCTACGTTGGACAGTGTGTCCCCAGCCTAAACCAACAGAAAAATGCCAACACCACAGTGAAACATGGAGGGCATGAAGAAGGAGAAAAAGGACAAGACACACCCAATTTCCTCCATCTTGTCCCCTTCGGACCGCTTATCTAGAATCCTAAAATTTTACTTTTGCACCCATGCCACACTTAATTATTGCTTCTATCAAACACTCAAAGCTTGTAATTCATCCTGTAAGATTGAAAACTCTTTTCCATGGACAGAGATCACAGACAGTGTCTCTGGGGGCTCTGTCCAGGGGGGTTCCTGACCCCTGCCAGGGTCCCAGGGCAGCCAGAATGAAGCTCTGGGTTCCCACAGAAATCGTGAACAGTTTGCTCACTGGGGGTTTCACTGGGGATTGATCCCAGCACAGAACTGAAGATCAATCAAATCCCTTGGCTCCGGGTGGGATTGGCCTCTTGCACCCCATTCAGGAGAACATTTTGGTGAGCCAGATGGGATGGCCATACAGCCTTGCTTGGATCATCTTCCTGCACCCAGAAACGGAGAATGGGATGGAGCAGGACTCCTGTGGTGTCTCGGAGGGGGGTGGGAGTTTGTGTCTTGCCTGTGGTCCTGCAGACCCCAGCCTCCTCCAGGACAGCAGCAATGCAGGCTGCAGCCCCCGTGCATGGCATGAAGTGGGGTCTGTGGGGTGCATCTGCCAGGGGTTTGAAAGAAGGTGTCGAGTGGGGTGGAAGTAGGGGGGTCTTCTGTGTGGGAACAGGTGAAAGCTGATAAATAGAGGAAGGGAATACCATATGTTTCTTTGCTTTAAATAGGCCTTTTCGTGGATGGTAGTGTTTCATAATAAAATCAAAAGTTTCTGTGTGGAAAAAGAGGGGAAAGAAAGCTTCCAAGGAAGCAACCTCCCTTGACAAGGACCAGTCACTTAGAAGAAAGAAGAAAAAAAAGACCTGCCACAACCTTTCCCTTAGTCTCCTTACTTCTATCTGGTTTTAAAAAGGTGAAATGGGGCTGTGTGGTGTCTGGGTTAGGAGGGTGGGGGTCTCTGCTGTCTGGGATGATGAAGGTGGGGGTCTCTGTCGCACGCAGGGGTGTGTGGAGCACGGGCTGGTGTCGGGGGGTGTCTCTGCTGTGATGTGGGGGTCTCTCCCGCCCTGGGGGATGGTGGCAGGGGGCTCTGCCATCCGGGGTGGTGAAGGTGGAGGTCTCCAGCGTACAGGATAATGAAGGAGGGGTCTCCAGAGCACGAGATGGTGAAGGTGGGTGCCTCTGCTCTCCCGGGAGGTGAAGGTGGGGGTCTCCAGCGTACAGGATGATGATGGAGGGGTCTCCAGAGCATGAGATGGTGAAGGTGGGTGCCTCTGCTCTCCCGGGAGGTCAAGGTGGGGGTCTCCACGCTACGGGATGATGAGGGCAGGGGTCTCGGGATAGGGAGGTAGCAGCACCACCGGGTCCTGACAGCCACCACCATCCCCTCCCGGCGCACAGGGAACCACCCCCGCTCCTCCCCGGCCTGGGCGGTACCGGAGGAGCGGAACGGGGCCGCGGGGCTGGCGGGGAAGTCCCGCCCCCGGGCCGGGCCGGGCGGGGTCGGTGCCGGTGCCGGTGCCGGGGCCATGCGCGACGGGAACCGGAGGGGCCACGGGGGCGATGGGGCCGCGGCTGCTGCTCGCCGCGGGGCTGCTGCTCGCCGCTGGCACCGGCAGCGCCGCAGGTGAGCGGGGGTCCCGAGCGGAATGGGGGGGTCGGTGGGGAGCGCGGCTCGCCCCCGGCGGGGACATCGCGGGGATGATACCCAGAGAGCGGCCCGGGAGGAGCGGGGTGGGATCGGGAGTTGTAGTCCCTCTGGGAGCTCGTTGTCACCTCCTCAGGATGTCCGGTGTGTCCTCCCGGTGCGCTCGGTGCGCTCCCGGGATGCGCGGTGCCCCCTCCCCGGGATGCGCGGTGCGCCCCCGGTCCCGCGGTTCTGTCCCCGGGCTGGTGGGGCCGTGCAGAGCCGGGTTTGGGTTCTCCCTCCAAACCACATCCCCGGGCCCTGGGCAGGCAGGGGTTCCCCAAAAGCTGGCGGGAGGGAGGGTCTGAGTCAGCCGAGCCCAGCTCCCAGCCCTGCCCAGTCTCTGTGCTGGTTGTACTGGGCAGCCGGCCGAGGTGATGCAAGGCTTGGCCGAGCAGCCCATCCCATCCTCCTGCAGCCCCCAAACAGGGGGGGTTCCCCACAGGCTGTGCTGGGAGCTGCTGGGAGGTGAATTTGGGGGTCCCTGTCGCTGCTTCCCACCTGTCCTGGGGGGCTGCAGCAGGTGACAATGCCTCGGGTGACCAGACTTTGGTGGGTGACCACGAGGGTCCAGGGTGTGATGGGTGACTGGGAGGGTCTGGGCTGTGCTGGGTGACACAGTGGTGTCACCCTGTGCAGGTGACAGCTCGCAGCAGCAGCAGCACAGTGAGGAATTAGGACACTCCTGGTCTGTGACCCCGTGGGTCCTGTGGGAGAACCGGACACTCAGCTTGGCAGAAGCCACCCAGGTGAGCCCCCACCCACATCCCTGGGGTCCCCCATACTTGTGACAGCGCCTGCACCCTGCCACCTCCCCCCTGCCCTCTTTTCAGTGCCGTGTCCTGGTGCCACATCCCCGGGTCTCCCAGCACCCAGAACTCCCAGTGCCCCACAAGCAGTGGGGAGGGGGCTCTCAGCAGGTCCCCCTTCCCCTCCTGATGCTGGGAGGGACCTTTGTGGGTCGGGGTACCCACCCCGCGCCCCTCCAGGGTGGGGTGGAAGGGCCCAGCCCACCCTGCAGCCTCAGGGAGTCTCTCCCATATTTCCGCAGCGCTGCACCGGGCAGGAAGAGCGGGGGGAACGGGGTGGGGGCCCCGCTCGGTCCAACCCCCCTTTCCCCGACACAATGAGGCCGGGAGGGAGGGACGCTTCCTGCGGGCTGGGCAGGGCATCCCTTCCGACCTCTCCCTCCGGGCACGCGCCAGGGCCAGGCGGGTCAGGGTGCGTGGGTGTGGGGCAGCGTGGGTCAGGGGGTGCCCCCTTAACCCCTGGTCTGTGCCAGGGTGGGTTCCCCGCCCGTCTGACAGTGCTGCTGGAGCTGGAGGGGATGCGGCTGCTGCTGGAGCTGGAGCAAAACTGGTGAGACTGTGGCTCAGCAATGTGTGGGATGGGGCTCCCAGACCCATGCAAGGGTTGGGGGTCCTCCTGGGATTTGGGGTTCTGCCTCTATCCGTGGGGGTCTCTAATTCCCTCTCTCCATCCATGGCACAGCTGGGGTGGGGGCCCCAGGGTGCACCCACGGCAGGGTGGGAGGTGCTGAGTCCTCCCTTCCTGCCAGGGTGTGCTCAGGGCAGGGTGAGCTGGGGGTTCCTGCTGTGGGTGACACGAGTTTCTGGCAGGGAGCTGGTGCAGGGCACTGGGGCACTGCTCTATTACCTGCCCGACGGCACACAGGTGATCCAGGAGCACAGACAGCAGGTATGGCCTCCAGCATAGCTGTCACCTGTGTCCCCACGCTGTCCCCGTTCCCCAGGGGGACTCCAGCCTGGGGCTGGATCCTGAGCCCCCTTCCCTGCTGCAGGAGCACTGCTGCTACCGTGGAACAGTGCAGGGCTTCCCCGGCTCCTGGGCCAACCTCTGTGCCTGCACTGGACTCAGGTGAGCCCCCAAGCCCAGCGGTCTGTGAGCCCACTCCCCCTGTGCTGATGATGGGATGGGCTCCACATCCCAGCTCCTCTGTCCTTCCCCAGCGGCCGCCTCTGGCTGTCACACACCAGGAGCTACACGCTGGAGCCGGACACCAGCAGCCCCCCAGGGCAGCACATGGCATCCCACCTTCGGCTGGACCCCCAGAGCTGCAGGCAGGGCGCCCAGCCTGGGCCAGAGGCAACAGAGCCACCCTGGCCACAGAGGGTAGGTCACCCAGGGGTCCTGCCCCACGGGGTGTCCGTGTATCAGCACTCTGACCCCTCTCTGTCCCCAGGGCAAGCGGGCAGCGGCACAGCAGCACTTTGTGGAGCTGGTGATGGTGGTGGACCACGCTGCGGTGAGTGCTGGGCTGTCGGAATCTGTGGGTATTGGTGATTCTGAGATTGTAGAAAGTCTCTGTCTTTCTGCCCCGTTGCCAAGGAAGAAGCCATAATTCGTCTGTGCTGGTTTCAAGGTTGTTTATTCTGTTTATCTCTAACATGTTCTGCTGCCCTGCCGCAGCTCTGTCCTGCAGGGCAGCGTGTGGGGCTCTGCCCTCAGTGGGATGTTACAAACATTAAATACCAGAAACTACCTGTGCTGGATTTACAATAACGTGCCAATATCTGTCACCTACGTTGGACAGTGTGTCCCCAGCCTGAACCAACAGAAAAATGCCAACACCACAGTGAAACATGGAGGGCATGAAGAAGGAGGAAAAGGACAAGGCACACCCAATTCCTCCATCTTGTCCCCTCTGAACCCCTAATCTAGAAACCTAAAATTTTACTTTTGCACCCGTGTCACACTTAATTATTACTCTTATCAAACACTCAAAGCTTGTAATTCATCCTGTAAGATTGAAAACTCCTCTCCATGGACAGAGATCACAGCCAGTGTCTCTGGGGGCTCTGTCCAGGGGGGTTCCTGACCCCTGCCAGGGTCCCAGGGCAGCCAGAGGGAAGCCCTGGACTCCCACACTGGGCAGTGTCCCCACGGCAGGGGCTGCCTTCCCACACCCCCCCTCTGACCCCTCTTTGTTTCCCCAGTTCCAGCATTACCCCAACCTCCAGCGCCTTCACACGCGGACCCTGGAAATCGCCAACCAGGTGGATGTGGTGAGTCAGTGTCGTGTCTGTCCGCCCCGGCCCTGTGCCCGCTGTGCCCTTGCCCTGCAGTGCTGGGGGGGCTCTGACCCCTCTGTGCCCCCCAGTTCTTCCGCCCGCTGGGAGTGCGGGTGGCCCTGCTGGCGGTGGAGGTGTGGAGCGAGGGTGACAAGATCGCGGTGGGCGGCAGCGCCCGGGCGGTGCTGGAGCGGTTCCTGCGCTGGCGCCGGGAGGAGCTGCTGCCCCGGCTGCCCCACGACAACACCCAGCTCCTGACGTGAGTGGGGGACAGGGTGGGGACAGGGGGACGAGGCCGCAGCAGTCCCCCAACCCCCTGTGCTCTCTCCCCAGTGGTGCCCACTTCGATGATGTCTCAGTGGGGATGTCCACTCAAGCCTCCATGTGTTCCCCCACGCGCTCCGGGGGGGTCAGCATGGTCAGTACCTCTGTCCCCCCACCCCATCCTCCCACCGCCTGCATTTTCTGACCCTCCTGTCCCACAGGACCACTCTGTCAGTGTCCTCGTGGTGGCCTCCACCGTGGCCCATCAGCTGGGGCACAACCTGGGCATGCGTCACGACAGCGCCGGGCGCCTCTGCGACTGCGGCGACCTCCGCCACGACCGCGGCTGCATCATGGCACCGCCCACGGGGTGAGGGCAGCGGGCAGCCCTTCGGGGAGCTGGTGCCAAGCCCCTTCCTCACCTCACAGCCCCTTTCCTCCCTCTGCAGGTTGACACCTGGCTTGAGCTTCAGCAACTGCAGCTGGCAGGACCTGGAGCGCAGCCTGCAGCAGGGCCAGGGCTGGTGCCTCTCCAACATCCCCGAGCCCCAACTCCTGGCTGGGAGCCCCACCTGCGGGAACCACTTCGTAGAGCTGGGCGAGGAATGCGACTGCGGCCTCAGCGTGGTACGGGGGGCTCTGGGTAGCCCTGAAGCCCTGAAGCCACCCCATTTCTCCATGGCTCTGCCCAGGGGTGTCTGGGGTTGGCAGGGTGGTTTCCAGTGCTGGGTGCTGGTGGCACCTGCTGACTGCAGCCTCCCCACTGCAGGAGTGCACAGATCCTTGCTGCAACAGCAGCTCCTGCCAGCTGATGCCAGGGGCCGTGTGTGCCAGTGATGACGCCTGCTGTGAGGACTGCCAGGTGTGTGGGGATGGGCATCCATGCCATGGGCACACCAGGTGGTGGGCGAGTCCCCCACTCACCCCTTTTTCTGACCCACAGCTGCGCCGTGCTGGCCACGTGTGTCGGGAGCTGCTGGGTGAATGTGACCTGCCCGAGTTCTGTGATGGGGTCTCACCACGCTGCCCCCCTGACACGTTCCTGCAGGACGGGCAGCCCTGTGCCAGCGGGCGGGCACGCTGCTACAGCGGGACCTGTGCCACCTACGAGGGGCAGTGCCAGCAGCTGCTGGGGCCAGGTAGAGCAGGGCCAGGGTGGGGTGCTGGCAGCTAAGCAGAGGTGCTGAGGGTCTCTGTCCCCACTGCAGGTGCCAGTCCTGTCTCCAGCTCCTGCATGGCCGCCCTGAACTCAAGAGGGGATGAACGTGGGCACTGCGGGCAGCTCGCCAATGGCTCCTATGTCACTTGCACCCAGCAGTGAGTGAGGTCCCCGTCCTTCTCCATGCCCGCCCTGCCGTGCCCCCTGCCCTGACCCCTCTGTCCCCACAGGGACACCAGCTGTGGAATGCTGCAGTGCCAGCGTGGCACCTCCCGTGGGGACAGCCCAGAAGGGTTCTGCCAGGGGACCACCCTGCCCGGGGATGAGGATGTGGCTGATGCAGCCATGGTGCTGCCTGGCACCACCTGTGGCCCCGGGAAGGTGAGCAATGGGGCAAGAGGGAAGGGCCTGGGGGGAATCTCCCGGTGCTGACACCCCATCTCCTACAGGTGTGCCTCCAGCACCGGTGCCAGAACGTCACCATGCTGGGTGACCAGCAGTGCCAGAGCAAATGCCATGGGCACGGGGTGAGTGTGGGGCTGGGGAGCGGCTGCTGGCAGCGGGGACCTGCCCCTCAGGAGCTGAGCTGAGCTGGTGTCACCCACCCAGGTGTGCAACAACCACGGGCACTGCCACTGTGAGCGGGGCTGGGCCCCCCCAAGCTGTGACAGCCCCGGAGTGGGGGGCAGCCAGGACAGCGGCCCTGCCGGCCTTGAGCGAGGTGAGGGACAGGGCGAGCACAGAGAATGGGGCATTGTGCGGGTGCCAGGGGGAGGACGGGCACGGCGGGGGCTGACGTGCTGCTCTCCCGCAGAGGGAAGCGCCCTGCCCACGGCCCTGCTGCTGAGCGCGCTGCTGGGGCTGGCGCTGGCGCTGGGGCTGTGCCGTGCCCGCCGTGCCGGCCTGCACAAGCACCTCTGCCAGCTCGGGAAAGGCACCTCCTGCCAGTACAGGTATGGGGGGCACACTGGGGGGCACATCAGGGGTATGTGGGGGGCACGCGGGTGTTGGCACGCGGGTGTTGGCACACGGGTGTTGGCACACTCGCCTCTGCATGTGTGTGACAAGGCGCACCAGCGGCACGCGGCTGCCACGCTCACCTCTGCATGCGTGTGCCGTGACACACTCACTTCTACACGTGTGTTGTGACTCTGCATGCGTGCTGTGTCGTGCGGGCGGCACGCCGGCCTCTGCACGCGTGTGCCAATGCACACAGGTGGCACGCGACACCTCTGCATGTATCCTCCATGCTCGATTCTGCTCATACGTGCTGCAACACACAGGTGGCACGCACACCTCTGCACGTGGCACGCGGGTGGCACGCTCGATCCTGCATGCGTGTGCCCTGTGAGCACGTGTGTGCAAACGTGTCCCCCGCAGTGACCACCCACGTGTGCGTCCCCAGCGCAGGTCACAGCCCCGTCACGCCACATCCCCGCGGCTCCTCTCGCCCCCCAGCCCCGGGCTGAGCCCCCCACTCTTCTCCCCACAGTGCTGAGACCCGGGTGCGGTTCCTGGGTCCCGGAGCCGCAGACGGCTGGAGCGGGTAACGTCACCGCCGGTGCCCGGGCGTGGGGCTGTCCCCGAGCCGTCCTGCTTCGCAAGGCCTCCGGTGCTGCGCTCTTCCCCTGGCAGTGCCCGTGGGGTGCGGGGCAGCCCCGGGGTGCGGGGTGTCGCATCTTCCAGCGCCGAGGGGTTCGTTTCTCTTGGGCTTCTGCTGGTGTCGGTGTCGCTCGGTCGCCGTGCGGGGTCCCCCAAGTGCTCAGAGCCAGCAGGGTCGGTCTCATGCCGTGTCTCCCCTGCAGGATCTCACAGCCAGAACCCCAGTTGGGCAGCAGCCAAGGTCCCCCTGCCCGTCCCCGGCCACCGCAGTGGCGTCAGGCCACGGAGCTGCAGGTCATGCACGGCAGCAAGGTGAGGATGGGGGTGCTGGGGTGCCAGCTCAGAGCGTCCCACACGTGGCATCCCACCCGTAGCAGCCTGGCACAGCCACTTGGCCCAGCCAGGGCTGTGCACTGAGGGGGGGTCTCTGTCTCTGCCTGGCGGGAGGGGGGTCTCCGCATGCTGCATGGCTTGTCCCCCCTCTCCCTCTCTCCGCAGCCGGCTGCCCTCGGCTCAGCCCGGCCTGATCCGCCCTCCCGGCCTCTCCCGCCGGACCCTGTGCCCAAGGTAATGCCCGGGCAGGGGGGGGAGAATCCCCCAGCCCACCCCGGACCCGCTGCATGTCTGGCTGCGCTCCAGCTCTCGGGGACTTGTGACACGGCCGTCCCCAGAACCCCTCCTGCCCAGTGGGAGGCTGGTTCCCGTGCCACCCCACTTGTCCCCCGCTGTCTCACTGTCCCCCTCTGTCTCTCTGTGCCCAGGCCCCCCCCTCGGACAGGCCGCCCCCCCCCACACGCCCGCTGCCCGCAGACCCTGTGCTGCTGAGCGCTCAGGTAACGCAGCAGCACCTGCGTGTGGGGCAGGAGGGCGACCACCACCCCCTGAGCCCCTTGGGGGGTCAGCCCAGCACCCAGCTTTGACACCCCCACGCCTTTACAGCCCCCAGGTCCTGCCAAGCCCCCACCACCACAGCGGCCGCTGCCCTCAGACCCACCGGGCTCATCGCTGCCCCACGGGGAGACCCTCCCTGGGCACCCCTATGTCACCGTGATCCCCGCCAGGTGAGCACGGCGGGACAGCGCAGGGATGGGGGTACGGGGGGTTTGAGGGGTGCCAGGGTGGGGGGCTGCAGAGACCTGGGGGGGGTGGGTGGGGGGAGAAGGGTTAACCAGGAGAAATGAGGGACCAGAATAGAAAGGAGGGGTCAGGGCGGGGATGCAGAGGGGAAGCTGTGCGGACATCACCCTCACCCCATCACCCTCCCTTCTCTCGCCAGGCCCGCCCCGGCCCCGCCAGAGGCCTGAGCGGCGGGCAGCGAGTGCGCAGCGCTGGATCCGCGGAAAGGCCGGGCCCCGCCGCCCGCTTTTCCTCCCGCCACCTCAATAAAGGCGCTGTGAGCCGCCTCTGCGCTGCCTCCGCCGCACCGGCACCGGGCACGGCGATCGGCACCGGGATGGGGGAGCGGGGCGGAACTACAACTCCCGGCAGGCCCCGCGCCGGAAGGGGCTGCGAGCGGCTGCGCCCTCTGGTGGGGACTGCGCGCAGCTGCAGCGGGGGCGGTGTCGGGGGACACGTGGGCACGGGTGGGGTGAGGGGACACGGGGGGACACGCGTGGGCACGCGTGTGTGTCTGTGTGTGTCTGTGTGTGTCTGTGTGTGTCTGTGTGTGTGTATCTGTGTGCGCCAGGGCTGCTCCGTGGCCACACGCGTGTGCCGGAGCTGCCCACTGTGCAGGGACACGCGTGGAGCTGCCACGCGTAGGGGCACACGCGTGTGCCAGAGGTGCCTCCTGGGCTGTAAGGCGTGTGCAGGGGCTCCTGTGCGTTCGCAGACACGCAGGTTTGGCACGGGGGCACACACACACACGTGTGCAAGAGCTGCCAGGTGGGCAGGGACACAGGTGTCACACGTGTGTGCAGGAGCTGCTCTGGGGGCACAGACACACACGTGTGCAAGAGCTGCCCTAAAGGCTTGGTCAGAGATGTCACACGTGTGTGCAGGAGCTGTCACACATGAGCACACGTGTGTGCAGGAGCTGTCACACATGAGCACACGCATGTGCAGGAGCTGCTCTGGGGGCACAGACACACACACGTGTGCAAGAATTGCCAGGTGAGCAGGGACACAGATGTCACACGTGAGCAGGAGCTGTCACACATGAGCACACGCGTGTGCAGGAGCTGTCACACATGAGCTGCCGGTGCATGTTGGCGGTACCGGGAGCGCCGGACCGGAGCGTGGCTGCCGATGCCGGCGGGGATTTACCGGTCCCGGTGCCCGTGCCGGTGCCGGTGCCGGTGGATAGTCACGGTACCGGGTCGTGTCGGACTGGGAGAGGTACCGAGGAGTCGCCAGGGATACCGGTGCCGGTGCCGGTGGATGTTGGCGGTGCCGGGGCGTGGCTGCCGATGCCGGCGGCGAGTTACCGGTCCCGGTGGCGGTCCCGGTGCCGGTCCCGGTGCCGGTGGATAGTCACGGTACCGGTTCGTGTCGGACTGGGAGAGGTACCGAGGATGCCGGTGGATGTTGGCGGTACCGGGAACGCCGGACCGGGGCGTGGCTGCTGATGCCGGTCTCGGTGCCGGTCCCGGTGGCGGTGCCGGTGCCGGTGGATGCCGGTGCCGCCCGCCAAGGGTTAATGGCAGTCGGTGAAGTTGCCGGGCGGCGGCGCGGCGGGATTGGCCCGAAGTTGGCGGGGCGGGCCGGGCCGTGCCGAGCCCCGCCGGGCCGCCCCGCCCGCGGCCCCCGCCGCCCCCCGCCGCCGGCGGAGCCATGCGCCCCGCGCCGCTGCTCGGGCTCCTGCTCTGGGCACCGCTGCTCTGGGCGCCGCCGGTGCGCGGCTTCCGCCACGGCGTCCACTGGAACGGCAGCAACCCCAGGTACCGCCGCCGCCGCCGCCTTTGTACGCCCCGGGCCCCACCGAGCCCCGGGCCCCACCGAGCCCCGGGCCCCACCGAGCCCCGGGCCCCGCCGCCGCCACGGGACGGGTGGGGAGGGGCGGTGGGTGGTGGGATTTGGGGGGGCGGGGCTGCTGGTCACCGGGCTACCGGGCTCCCGTGGGGGAGCAGCTCCCGGTGGGACCGGGCATCCCCGACAGCAGCGAGCGCACAGGTAGTGCCGAGCAGGAGGGTGGATCCCGGTGCGCCGAGCCCCCCGGGCATCCCCGGTGGTACCGCCGGTGGTACCGAGCCCCGGTGGTACCGAGCCCCCGGGCATCCCCGGTGGTAGCGCCGGTGGTACCGAGCCCCGGTGGTACCGAGCCCCGGTGGTACCGAGCCCCGGTGGTGCCGCCGGTGGTACCGAGCCCCGGTGGTACTGCCGGTGGTACCGAGCCCCGGTGGTACCGAGCCACTGGGCATCCCCACCGGCACCGAGCCCCGATGGTACCGCCGGTGGTACTGAGCCCCGGTGGTACCGTCGGTGGTACCGAGCCCCGGTGGTACCGAGCCCCGGTGGTACTGCCGGTGGTACCGAGTCCCGGTGGTACCGAGCCACCGGGCATCCCCAGCGGCACCGAGCCCCGGTGGTACCGCCGGTGGTACCGAGCCCCGGTGGTACCAAGCCCCCGGGCAGCCCTGGGCGTTGTGCAGCATGTGAGAACCCCCGGGGGTGCTGAGCTCTGAGCAGCACCGGGCACCTCCGGTGGTACCGGGCCCTGGGCACTACAGAGCCGGTGAGTGCCCCAACCGGTACCGACCCCCGGGTGCCCACGGGGGGCACTGAGCCCTGAGCGGTCCCGGTGACACCGAGCCACTGGGCATCCCCGGGTGCCACCAGCGAGCACACCTGGGTGCTGCTTAGCCCCAGGCACTGCTGGTGGCACTGAGCTCCGGGTGGCATCAGCTGGTGAGTGTCCCTCAGTGGCACCAAGTTCTGGGTGTTCCCACACCAGTGGGCAGCTCTGGTTGCCCCGAGGCCAGCAGGCACTGCTGGTGGCACCAACCCTTGGTGGCACCAACCCTTGGTGGCACCAACTGGTGCTGCCGATCTGCCGGTGGTACCCACCTGTGCTGTGAATGCCCTTGGTAGCGCTGAACTCGTGGCATCAAGCTGGTGGGTGGCACTGCCAGGGCTGTGGGTTTCCATGGCAAGTGTCCCCTCTGGTGGGGGCCACTCCAGCCCCACACCCCCCACCGGTGCTGCCATCAGGCCAAGCTCTGTTTCCATCCCTCTTCCCAACCTCCTCCATTTTAGGTATTTCCCAGCTTGGGGCTCCTCAGGGAGCAGGAGGCAGGGTCAGGATCCTGAGGCCTCCCCCGTGGAGGTTCTGTGCTCTGCTGGACCGGCCAGACTGGCACACTGGGCACAGCTGTGGGCACAGGCACACCTTGCTCCATCCTGCGGATGGGGGAGGCGAGACCCCACCACCCATGGGTGCCCCACTGCTGGGTCAGGCCATGCCAGGCCCCGTCCCCACATCCCTCGGCCCTGCCCAGGCCCGTCCCAGCCAGCGTCACCCGTGGGATGCTCTGAGTCAGCAGGAGTGTGCTCCATCCTGCCCTGGGGGAGCCCCTGGCCTGAGTGGGGTGTCGGGGGTACCAACCCACCCTTACCAACGCTGCCAACCCGGTGATGAATATTCTGGGGCCAAGATCTACCTGCCAGCCCCTCTTTTCCACACGTGTGCCCGTTCATGTGTGTGTACACATGTGTGCCTTGCACGGCTGATCCACCCCGGCCTGGCTGCGCTTGCTGTGGGCACAACCATGAGCTGGCAGCATCCCCCAGGCTGGGCTCCATCCCCTGCCCGCCCTGTGCCCGTGGTGAGGGGCTTTGTGCCCGGCCAGCGTGGCTGTCCAAACCCCCCCTGCCCATTCAGCTCCAGCTATGGTGGTTTTTTGGGCAAAACCCAACTCCCTGCTCTGCCAGGGCAGCAGGGCACCCCTCCCATGCCACCCATCCCATGGCACCCATCCCATGGCACCCCTCCCATGGGACCTCCTGCCCCACAGGTTCCTGCGGGACGACTACTCCATCCAGGTGGCCATCAATGACTACCTGGACATCTACTGCCCGCACTACGAGGGCACGGTGCCCGCCGGCCGCGCAGAGACCTTCACGCTCTTCATGGTGGACCGGGAGGGTTATCGTGGCTGCTACGAGACCCCCGGTGCCTTCAAGCGTTGGGAGTGCAACCGGCCCCGGGCGCCCTTCGGGCCCGTCCGATTCTCTGAGAAAATCCAGAGGTTCACCCCCTTCTCGCTCGGCTTCGAGTTCCAGCCTGGAGAGACCTACTACTACATCTGTGAGTGTCCTCGGGGTGCTGGGTGGTGTCCCCAGGGGTCTGAAGGTGTCAGGGGGGCTTGAGTGCAGCTCCCCGGGTTTGGGGGTCAGCAGGATCCCCGTGGAAATGAGTTTAGGGTGTATTGGGGGGGTCAGGGTACAGCCAGGATGACTCTGAGGGGTTCTGGATGATGCCAGGGGTGAGGTGTAGGAGGGTCTGGGTGTCCCAAGGGTGGGGGCACAAGGGGATGGGGATGCAGGGGGTGACTGGATGCCCTGGGGTGGGGGATTCATGGAGGTGTGGGGTGCAGAGGGGTTCTGGATGCCCTGGGGTGGGGGATTCATCCAGGTGTGGGGTGCAGAGGGGTTCTGGATGCCCTGGGGTGGGGGATTCATGGAGGTGTGGGGTGCAGAGAGGTTCTGGATGCCCTGGGGTGGGGGATTTGTGGAAGTGTGGGGTGCAGAGGGGTTCTGGATGCCCTGGGGTGGGGGATTCATCCAGGTGTGGGGTGCAGAGGGGTTCTGGGTGCCCTGGGACAGGGGATTCATGGAAGTGTGGGGTGCAGAGGGGTTCTGGATGCCCTGGGACAGGGGATTCATGGAAGTGTGGGGTGCAGAGGGGTTCTGGATGCTCTGGGGTGGAGGATTTGTGGAAGTGTGGGGTGCAGAGGGGTTCTGGGTGCCCTGGGGTGGGGGATTTGTAGAAGTGTGGGGTGCAGAGGGGTTCTGGATGCCCTGGGGTGGGGGATTTGTAGAAATGTGGGGTGCAGAGGGGTTCTGGATGCCCCTGGGACGGGGGATTCATGGAGGTGTGGGGTGCAGAGGGGTTCTGGATGCCCTGGGGTGGGGGATTTGTGGAAGTGTGGGGTGCAGAGGGGTTCTGGATGCCCTGGGGTGGGGGATTTGTGGAAGTGTGGGGTCTGGATGCCCTGGGACAGGGTATTCATCCAGGTGTGGGGTGCAGAGGGGTTCTGGATGCCCCTGGGACGGGGGATTTGTGGAAGTGTGGGGTGCAGAGGAGTTCTGGATGCCCTGGGGTGGGGGATATGTGGGGAGGTGGGGTGCAGGGGCTGTCTGGATGCTCTGGGGTGGGAGCATGAGGGATTAGGGTACCCCCGTTTCGGGGTGCAGGGGCTGTCTGGATGCTCTGGGGTGGGGGCATGAGGGGTCGGGGTGCCTCTGGTTCAGGGTGCCCTGGTTCGGGGTGTCCCCGGGTCGGGGTGCCCCGGTTGGGGGGCAGGGTGGGGGTGCAGGGCGGGCTCTGCGTGCTCTGGGGTGGGGGATGGAGGGGTCGGGGTGCAGGGTGTATTTGGGTGCCCCGACTGGGGGCTCAGGGTGTATTTGGGCGCCCCTGTTGGGGGGTGCAGGGTGTATTTGGGTGCCCAGCTGGGGGTGCAGGGTGTATTTGGGTGCCCCTGTTGGGGGTGCCCGAGTTGGGGGTGCCCTGGTTGTGGGTGCAGGGTGTATTTGGGTGCCCCTGTTGGGGTGCAGGATGTATTTGGGTGCCCCTGTTGGGGTGCAGGGTGTATTTGGGTGCCCCTGTTGGGGTGCAGGGTGTATTTGGGTGCCCCGGCTGGGGGCTCAGGGTGTATTTGGGTGCCCGGGTTGGGGTGCAGGGTGTATTTGGGTGCCCCTGTTGGGAGTGCCCGGGTTGGGGGTGCCCGAGTAGGGGGTGCCCCGGTTAGGGGTGCAGGATGTATTTGGGTACCCCGGTTGGGAGTGCCGGGTTGGGGGTGCCCCGGTTGGGGGGGGCAGGGTGTATTTGGGTGCCCCTGTTGGGGTGCAGGGTGTATTTGGGTGCCCCGGTTGGGGGTGCCCGGGTTGGGGGTGCCCGGGTTGGGGTACAGGGTGTATTTGGGTGCCCCTGTTGGGGTGCAGGGTGTATTTGGGTGCCCCAGTTGGGGTGCAGGGTGCATTTGGGTGCCCCTGTTGGGGGTGCCCCGGTTGGGGGTGCCCCTGTTGGGGTGCAGGGTGTATTTGGGTACCCCGGTTGGGGTGCAGGGTGTATTTGGGTGCTCCGGTTGGGGGGCTCAGGGTGGTCTCTGCGCGCTCCGTGCCCGGTTCCGCCGGGAGGGGGCGCCCCGGGGCCGCGCGGAGCCGCCACCGGGGGTCCCGGGGGGTCCCGGTGGGTTCCGGGGGGTCCCGGCGGGTCCCGGTGGGTCCCGGGAGGGTCCCGGAGGGGTCCCGGGGGGTCCCGGGGGGTCCCGGCGGGGTCCCGGGGGGGGTCCCGGAGGGTCCCGGAGGGGTCCCGGGGGGTCCCGGTGGGTTCCGGGTGGGTCCCGGAGGGGTCCCGGGGGGGTCCCGGGGGGTTCCCGGAGGGTCCCGGGTGGGTCCCGGGTGGGTCCCGGGGGGGTCCCGGTGGGTCCCGGGGGGTCTCGGGGGGGTCCCGGGGGGGTCTCGGGGGGGTCCCGGGGGGGTCCCGGTGCCGCCGCACCGGAGCCGGTCCCCGCTGACCCCCCCGCCCAGCCGTGCCCAGCCCCGAGAGCGCCGGACGATGCCTGAAGCTGCGCGTCACCGTCTGCTGCCGAGGCACCAGTGAGTCCTGCTGGGGGGGGGGCGCACCCCAAAACTCGGGGGGCGGCTCCGAGTAACCCCCGGCAGCCGTTCCCTGACCACGGTGGGTTTGTTTTTATTTTCCAGCGGCAGAGCCGGTGACGGAGGTGCCAAATTCGCAGCCCCGAGGGCGCGGGGGCCCCGACGGTGAGTACCGGAGCGGGGTTTGGGATGCCGGGCTCCGCCTCGCCCTGACCGCCGCTTCTTCCCCGGTAGATGTGGCTCCTGCCCGGGGCTCCGCGCCCCCATCGCAGCCCTACAAGCCGTGCCTGTCTCTGGTGCTCCTGGCCCTGCTCTGGATCTGACCCCGGCGTTGCCCCTGGTGAGGGATGGGCTCCTCTGCCCCTTTCCTCCCAGCCAACCCCCACCCCGAGCCCGTGGGGCAGCCCCAGGCCATGACCCGCCCGCTGGACCTCCGCAAAGCCGAGCCGGGGCCGGGAGCTCCGGGCTGGAAGGTGAGGGGGGCAGTGGGTGCTGTGGGGCTGTGGGTGCTGCCCTGAAGCATCCCTGCATCCCTGGCCGGGGCTGTTTCCCTCTCAGGGCCATCACTCGCCGCTGGCATCGTCACCGGGATTGCCACGAGTCCTGGCGTTGGCATTGCCACCAACGCCTGCTCTGCCCCACGGCCATCACCTCATCTCGTGCCTTTCCCCACGGACCCCCACCCCGGGGCCCAGGGACCCCCGGAACGGGGCAGCAGCTCCGATGGCGGCATCCGCTGCCGTGTCCTCCTCCAGCGAGGACACGCTGATCTGTCTTCTGGGAAGACGCTTTCCTCCGTGCCCTCGGTTTGGTTTTAACCCTTGGTAGTGACTGAGCAATACAATATTTGCAAGATCGCTGTGCCCCGGCTGTGTGGCCCCCGCTGTGCCCCCCGTGCCCGCACCGGTGCCAGGGTGGCTCCTCCAGGGTGTCCCTGCCCCTCTCTCCCTGCACACCTTCATGGCCGAGGGTTTAATTGCAGCAGTTTGATATTGAGTCGTCAGCTCCTGTCACCGGAGAGCTTTAATTACAGACTGTAATTAACACCTGGTGGTGGGATGAGCGCTGGGACAGGGGGTGAGGGGGCAGTGGACTCGGGGGTCCCAGCCGGGCACCCTGGTCCCTCTTGCCACCTTTGGGTGCGGTTGGGGTGCCCTCAGAGCAGCCACTCTCTGTCCATCTCTCCATGTGCTACGCACCCCATGAGATGCCAAAAATGGGGAGATTTGGGGAGCTGCAGGGCTGATCCCATGGCACAGCCGTGTCCTTGTCACAGTCACGGCTCTGCCACATTCCCAGGCCTGCCAACCGGTGGGGGATTCCCTGGTGCTCTCAGCCCCCCATCCCATGAGTTCTGCCCCCCACTTTGCCCTCCTGAGGGGCTCCTGAGGGGTCCAGCTCCCCCCGGGGCCGCCTGCAGCAGGGCCCCCCATCCCCTCGCCGCGCAGGCGTTGCCGGCCGCCTGCCGCAGTGGTGCCGGGCACGTCAGACAGGTTTTATGGCTTCTGGGAGAAAGAAGCTGCTTGGCAAGAGGCTGAGAGAAAGCATCGACCGTGCTGCTCCCCTCCCCCAGCTCGGCTGCCTGCCCTTCCCCCACTGCACCCCATCCTGCACCCCGCCCTGCCCCATCCCCGGGGGGACACAGGGGCTGTTAGTGCACAGAGGGGCACCTCCTGTGGGACCCCACCCTCCCCAGGAGGGGCTGAGACCATCTGGGGGATGTCGTACCCAAGGGACCCCCGTGTAGGATGCTGGATGGGGTATCCCCCAAATTACCCACCTGTGGGGGTGCTGGGGGGCGGTGGTACCTGTGGGAGTGATGTGTGAGGATTTCAGGGGTGATGGTGACTTGTGGGACCCCCGTGCAGGGATTCCAGGGGTGATGGTGACTTGTGGGACCCCCGTGCAGGCATTTCAGGAGTGATGGTGACTTGTGGGACCCCCGTGCAGGGATTCCAGGGGTGATGGTGACTTGTGGGACCCCCGTGCAGGGATTCCAGGGGTGACGGTGACTTGTGGGACCCCCGTGCAGGGATTCCAGGGGTGATGGTGACCTGTGGGACCCCCGTTCAGGGATGATGGGGGGGCTGTACCCTGTGGGACCCCCATGCAGGGATTCCAGAGCACAACCATGCCCTGCAGGATCCCCATGCCAGGATTCCAGGGGACATCCATGCCCTGTGGGACCCCCATGCCAGGGGACAGCCATGCCCTGTGGGGACCCCCATTCAGGGATCCCAGAGCACCACCATGCCCTACAGGACCCCCATGAGAGATGCTGGGTGGGGACATCCCCCAAAGGACCCCCATAGAACGATGCTGGGGGACAACTGTGCCCTGGAGAACCCCTGTGCAGGGATGTTTTTGGGCTATTTCTTGCAGGAACCCATGCAGGAATTCCAGAAGGGGACTACCCATTGCAGCACCCCTTCCCCAGACCCCCACAAGGCTGAGGAGTCCCTGTGGGTGCTAAGTCTGGCCCTGCCCTTGAGCCAGGGTTGTTTGGTATGCAGGAGCTGCCACCAGCTTCAAATCCCATCGACTTCCAATGAGCAATGCCATCAATAACGGCTAATTGATGGCGCGGCCGCTCCAAATCAGATTCCCCGTCCCCTGAATCCAATTGATGGCTCCGCACCCCGCAGCCGCCGCGGCAGAAATTGAATCTATTCAAGGAATGGGCTCCATTAGCCCATCCCTTCTGTCTCGCCACCCCTACCCCCCTCCCGGTGCCACCTACACCAGCTGGGGTGCCCGTGGGGAGGTGGGTGAGGATGTGGGGTGTCCCAGGTGGGTGGGAGTTAAAGCTTCAAAAAGTGGGAAGGAAAAATTTATCAGCTGGAATAGCAAGTGATGGGAAATGGTAATAGCAGCATGGAGATGGAGAGCAGGATAAAGAACCCGGTCATGCCAGGAGCGAGGAGGGAGCATGGCATGGCCGTGCCCACCATGGCCTGGCTCGCTGTCACCACAGGGATGAGCCTGGCACTGGGATGAGCCTGCTGGGCACAGCCCCTTTAGCTCTGTGGCGTTCCCACTCATGGCATCAGATCCCCCACCCAACCCTGCCGTGCCCCAAACCCCCCTCAACACCCCAGCACGGGGCACTGCAGCCATCCCAGAGCAGCCCTAGGACACACAGGGGACATGGGGGACGCAGGGCACACCCCCATGACTGAAAAGGGGGGAGCAGAGCCCCCCAGAGCCGTGGGGCCCATCCCTGCCTGCTTCCCATGGGCAAAGGGCAACAGCGGCAGCGCCCACTGAGAGCTGTGGAGAGCATCCCGGAGATGGGAAATGGCTCTGTGTCACCATGGAAACGGGGCCAGCGGCTCCACACGCCGAGGGGACACGCGTGACGAGGGGACACGCGTGCTGAGGGGCACACTGAGCCCTGAGGAGCGGGGCATGACGGACTGGACAGTGGGACTCTGAGGCCAAAGCACAGCGCCCATCACCCACCTCAGACCAGCTCCCTCGGTACCTGGCAGCCACGGGGATGCCACCTCTGTGATGCCACCTCTGTGATGCCACCGGGCATCTGCAGAGCAGCAGAACCATGCTGGGCATGGGGTGAGGGGACCGGAGTGGCTGTTCCCCGAGCAGCCGCCTCATGATGAGCATCGTCAAGGTTATCATCGAGCAAAAACACTCAGCGGGGTTGGAGGGAGCCGGTCTGTGTCGCTTAATTAACCAGAGCTGCACGGAGCACCGAGCCCGCTCTGCCATAGCAATGAGGGTGCTGGCATGGCACAGCAGGGGTTGGCACGTCCCACCTGCCAGCAGCAGGCAGGCACTGAGGTTTGTGTCCTCTCCTGGGGTCAGGGTGGCAGTTGGCATGGTGGGGAGGGTCACTGGGGTGTGACACAGCTGGCACTGGTGGGTGTGCTGGGACAACCTCTGCACCCTGGGGAGGATGATTAGGATTTTAATGGGTGCAAATGCCACAGGGCATCACCCCAGCACAGTGCTGCTGTCTCCAGGCCAGCCAGGCAGTGGGGGCAGAGGCTGGGGCAAGTGCTGCCCACCCAAGGGTGCCCCAGTGGATGCTGAGGTGTTCCATGCCAGGGTGTCGCCAGGCTGGCACCACCTGCGCTGCCATCCGGCCTCTCTGGGCATATCCACGGGGAGAATGGTGGAGGTGGAGGGGGCCCTGTTCCCCACATCCACCCTGTGCTCCTCATCCTCACGCTGCTAACGAGCTTCCCTGGCAAAGAGCTCGTTAGCCACGGCATGTGGGCAGCTCCTCAGGTCCCTGCAGTCCCAGGACAGGGACAGGGACCAGCAGCTGGCAGGACTGGCCAGTGTGGTCAACCTGTGGTCAGAGGCAAGTGCAGCACCGGTGGGTGGATGCTCTGAATTATTGAGCAACACCTGCATGGGGGGCACGGGGCATGGCAGCCCACCTAGCCCAGATGGAGCAGCTGGGCACTGCCAGGCTGCAGGGACACTGCAGCCACCCAGGCTCCTCTGCCAGCCCCTCAGGTGGTGGCTGCCAACAGCACAGGGCACCCCACACATGCCAGCACCTCTTGCTGCTCTCCTGGCTATCCCTGGCAGTGCCAGCAGCACCTCCTGCCCACCACCCACCTCCCATCCCCTGGCCAGCAGCACAAGCCTGGGGCAACTGCAGCCAGTGGAGGGAACCCCCATTTTCACCCCAGCCCCTCTCACGAGCCATTTCCAAGCTCATTTCCATTGTGGAAACCCCCCCCCACCCCGTGCCATCGCTCGCCTCAGCCCTGATGAATATTTCAGGCCCTGAAATCTCCTGTGCCTGCACGCTCAGCCCCAGGCCCCCACTGCCCCCCCAGATTATTCACTCCTTTGTTTCCCTGCGCTTCTGCCCAGCAGCAGGGCAGGGGCACGGTGTCACCCTGCCCTTCTCCCCAGGGACGGTCACCCGTGGGCTGGAATGGGATGGGAATGGGCTGTTCCTGAAGGGGCAGGTGGGCACTGCTGGTGGTAGAGCCAGGACATCCCCACAGTGCCAAGGATGGTTCCTAGGATGGCTCCAAGCCCATCCCCAGCCCTCATGTGGGCCTGAGGGACTGCAGGTCCCTGGTGCCATCACCTGCAGGGTCAGGGCAGGAGGATGGGGACAACCTGGAGCACAGCACGTCGTGGATCTGTCCCTGGCACCTCCCAGTTCAATGCCATCTCCGCCAGTGCTTCCAGATGCTGCTTGTGGCGTGATGTGTGTGCGGTGGGAGCAGAATATCGATGCTGCTTGTCACTCCTTCATCAGCTTAACGTCACTTACACACCACCAGACATCTCACAGGGGACACCAGGGATGAGCAGAGCATGTCCCAGGGCCAGTGAGGAGCCATGTGCTGCAGCTGGCAGCCACAAAACCATCTCTGTGTCCTTGTCCCTTCCCCAGAGAGCTGTGGCTGCACAGGGTTGTGTGCCAGCCCTGCCCTACCCAAACTCCCACCTGGCACCACCCTCACACCTCCAGCAAATCCACACCGTGGTGGTGGCAGAGCAGCAGGGGCATGGAGTGAGGCCTGGGTGATATTGGAGTGATCTTGAGGCCAGGAGGGAGGTTTGCCATGCTGGAGGAGAGGAGAGGAGCCAACTGAGTCACCCAGAGCCGGCTGCTGACTCAGGTGCTTCCTGCCAGGTAACCTCCGCCGCCGGCTGTGGGCTGCTGGGACAGAGGATGTGGCACAGGGGACAGACTGGCACTGCCTGGCACACCAATCCAGCCCCCAGGGTGGGTTAAACCATGAGTGAGCACGGCTGTGCTGCACCATTGGCCACCTGATTCCACCCTGGGACAGGCTGCTGGCCGTGGGAGCCACGAGGAGCTGGTGGCTCTCACCTCCCACCCGCCACCTCTGGGTGCCCACGCGGCCAGGGTGGGTGAGATTTGGCACGGCTGGTGGAGCCGGGGTTCCGGCAAACAGGCGCCTGGCTGCCAGGGCAGGAACCCTGCAGCTTCCTCCCCGTGGGGCTGGGAACCACGCACGCCTTCATCCAGCAGGAAGCTGATTTCCTCTGGCACTGCCGCCTGGCACCGCTGCTCCCTCGCTGGTGGCTGTGGTGGCAAAGAACCCTCCTCTGCGAGCCCACAGAATCCAGATCCATGTAAATTAACTCTGTTAATTAAGGGATTTCTCCCATGTCCCTCTGAGCAGCAAGGCTCGCTCTGGTCCCTCTGCCTGGACCTGTGGCTCACCAAGGAGTCGTCCACACATCTTCACCACCCAGCCCAAGGATGTCCCCCAGGATTCCTCCAGAGTTGGATCTTCCCCCATCTCCCTGAGCCCTGGGAAGGCTCAAACCCTGCGCCCTCCTCGAGGCGATGCCCACCCGGCGCTTGGCACGGCGCAACCATCCGTGAGGCTTCATTCAAATTTAACGCCTGACGCTGGATAGAAAAGGGAAGGGGCAGTGAGGAGCAGGGCTGGGAGGCAGTGGGCACAGCTGAGTGTGCCCCAGGAGTGCCATACCCGTGCCCAAACACCGGCGTGTGGTTGTGAGGTGCTGCTCCAAATGCTGCCGGGAGAAGCTGCCAGGAGCCAGGACTGTTCATCTCCACGTGGCCACGCCAGCGCTGCCAGCTCCTCGAGCCAGGCCATCCTCCCTGCGTGTTTTTGGCTTGTTCTTGCCGTGTCTGGCTGGACGCGTGCCGGCACCTGGATCCCGCGGGCGGGTCGGGAGCCCTGAGCTCAGCGCGTTGGGCCCCGCTAGGTGTGGCTGGTGAATATTTCATGCCCGCGTTCACCGAGCCCTTTCTTGGTTACACTCCTGCCTCCTCCCCGCGCTCTCACCATGTTTATTTATTTAATGAATTATTTATCGGCTCCCCTCTCGCTCGGCTGGGCGATGCCCCCCTCCCCACACTCCCCCAGCCCGGCGCGATGATTTATTGAATGCTCTGCTCTGCGGTTGCGACATTCTGTCACAGGAAGCCGCGGTTAAATATTAACCCGGGCGGGCCAAACGGGTCCCGTGCCCGCCGGGCACCCGGTGGTGCTCATGGGTGCCAGCTGGGAGGCTTTCCCAAAAAGTGGCAGGCCCAGAGTGGAGAAGACAGAGCAAGGAAGAAGGGATGCTCTGTACTCGGCTCTGGACAACTCAAGGCCTCACATCCCCCCGCTGAAGCCACCACGCTGTGTCCCCAACCACCCCACCACAGCCACCACATCCCCTTGTGCCAAAATCCTGCTGATCCCCCTCTCCGTGTGCCATTCCAGGAGTAATTCCCTGTGGTGCTGACACCTGCACACACCACGACGCTCCGGGGATGTTTTACCCCCATGGGTGCCTTCATCCCCAACCTGAGCCTTTGGGGTGTCCCTCCGTGGGGGTGCCGTGGCGGGGGGACCCCCGTGGTGCGGGTGCTGACGGCGGTGCTGCGTTACCACGAGCCGGGGGGGGGTTTCCATGTGGAGGTGGGTGTTGCCATGGGTTTGCCGAGCCGAAGCGTTTCCATGGTGGCAGCGCGGCGCTCTGGGTCCTCCCAGAGGTGTGCAGCGCCCAGGGATGGCACCGCTGCCACCTCAGTAAAGCCACCTCAGTAAAGCCACCTCAGTAAAGCCACCCCCTGCCCCCCCCCAGCTCCCACCCGCAGGCAGCCAGAGCCCTTTTCCACGTGTTGTGTTTTCTTCACTTCACTTCTTCGGATGAATAATTAATAGAGGCTTTTTTGGTCCTCCGGGCCTTTCCGCTGGCCCCCTCCCCCTTCCTGGCAGGGCTCCAGCAAGGGGTTTGGGCTCCCAGTGCCACCAGTATGGATGGGGAATGGGGGCTGGGGCACAGCCCTGCCGTGGGCATCGCAGCACTGGGTCTCCACAGTGCCAGGTGGGACCAGGGGCTCTGCCCATCATCATCCTCCTTGTCCCCTCCATAGCCTGGGGCAGCACCCACATGGCTAAAGGGACACTGAGAAGAAATGGGGTGGCTCTCCTCCCACACTGATCTCCTCCCAAAATCCTGGGGAGCCAGGAGACCCCCAAAACTCAGCACCGGGGCCAGGCTGAGAGTCACCAGGCCCACTGGGGACTTGGGGAGGTGACATCTGGCACCGCACCACCCTGGCCACGCTCACCACGCCGGTGAGATAGCTCCTGGCAGGAGCAGCTCAGGCCGGCTCAGCAAGCCCAGCCACAGTTTTGGGAAGCTCCTGGTTTCATTCAGAAGCTCCTCAAGGCTGCCAAAGCTCCGGGTGATGCATGACGCCGGTGCTGCCGGGGCAGAGGCCGCCGGGTCGGTACTGGAGGCTCCACGTGGGAGCGGGGAGAGAGTTGAGTGTGCCCAGTGAGATGTGTGTGCCCGGTGAGCTGAGTGTGCCCAGTGAGCTGAGTGTGCCCAGTGAGCTGAGTGTGCCCTGTGAGCTGAGTGTGCCCTGTGAGATTTGTGTGCCCAGTGAGCTGAGTGTGCCCAGTGAGCTGAGTGTGCCCAGTGAGCTGAGCTGAGTGTGCCCAGTGAGCTGAGTGTGCCCCGTGAGCTGAGTGTGCCTTGTGAGCTGAGTGTGCCCAGTGAGTTGAGTGTTCCTGATGAGCTGAGTGTGCCCAGTGAGCTGAGTGTGCCCTGTGAGCTGAGTGTGCCCGGTGAGCTGAGTGTGCCCTGTGAGCTGAGCTGAGTGTGCCCTGTGAGCTGTGTGTGCCCGGTGAGCTGAGTGTGCCCAGTGAGCTGAGTGTGCCCTGTGAGCTGAGTGTGCCCTGTGAGATTTGTGTGCCCAGTGAGTTGAGTGTGCCCAGTGAGCTGAGCTGAGTGTGCCCAGTGAGCTGAGTGTGCCCCGTGAGCTGAGTGTGACTTGTGAGCTGAGTGTGCCCAGTGAGTTGAGTGTTCCTGATGAGCTGAGTGTGCTCAGTGAGCTGAGTGTGCCCAGTGAGCTGAGCTGAGTGTGCCCAGTGAGCTGAGTGTGCCCTGTGAGCTGAGTGTGCCCGGTGAGCTGAGCTGAGTGTGCCCGGTGAGCTGAGTGTGCCCTGTGAGCTGAGTGTGCCCTGTGAGCTGAGCTGAGTGTGCCCAGTGAGCTGAGTGTGCCCAGTGAGCTGAGTGTGCCCTGTGAGCTGAGTGTGCCCGGTGAGCTGAGTGTGCCCTGTGAGCTGAGCTGAGTGTGCCCTGTGAGCTGTGTGTGCCCAGTGAGCTGAGTGTGCCCAGTGAGCTGAGCTGAGTGTGCCCTGTGAGCTGAGTGTGCCCTGTGAGCTGTGTGTGCCCTGTGAGCTGTGTGTGCCCAGTGAGCTGAGTGTGCCCTGTGAGCTGAGTGTGCCCTGTGAGCTGAGCTCAGTGTGCCCAGTGAGCTGAGCTGAGTGTGCCCTGTGATCTGAGCTGAGTGTGCCCAGTAATCTGTGCGTGCCCACGCCGGTGCGAGCGTGCCCGTGCGTGCACACGTGTGCCAGGGTGCCTGGCACTCAGCTCTGCCAGGCAGCTGCTAAGAGTTCTCACTGAGGACGGGCAGTGGGTTCTGACCCTCAGCTCGACCCCCACAGCCCCCGTGGCTCCCCGCAGGGATCCCCACCCCACGAACCCGTGGGGAGTGGGAAGAACAAGGGCCTGGCCATGGGGGTGGGCACTCGGCCAAGGCAGGCGGCACAGCCTGGCATTGTCTGCGCTCCGTGTGACCCCCATGGCACTGGCAGCAGCACCCTGAGGACCCTCGGGGGTCCTGAGCCCCCACCCACGGCTCCCTCAGCAGCACAGACCCACGGGGGTCCTGATGCCCCAAACCGTGGGTGAGCCAGGGAGATCCCGGTGGCACCGGGGATCGCGGTGGCACCGGATCCCGCAGGACAGGCGCGGGTGGTGCACCCCCAGGGGTCCCGGTGAGACCCCGATGGCAGCAGGACCTTTCACAGGTAACGCTGCCGGTGCCGAGCCGGTGCCGGGGCGGGCCCGGGGTGGCGGCGGGAGCGCGCGCGGGGGCGCGGCGGCGGCGGGCGCGCGCGGGGCGGAGCCGGGCGCCGGGGCCGCGGGGCGCGGGCGGCTCGGGCGGCTCGGGCTCGCTTCTCCCTCCATTCCCCGGCATCGCGGCGGGCTCGGGCGGCGGCAGGATGGCGGCTGGGCTCCTGCCCCTGCTCCTCCCGCTGCTGCTGCTGCTACCGGGCCGGGGGCCGCCGGGGGTCCTGGGCAACCGGCACGCCGTGCACTGGAACAGCTCCAACCCGCAGTGAGTGCGGGCGGGGGCGCCGGGACCCGCACCGGGAGGCGGGGGGGGGGGATGGGGGGTGTCCCCGGGGCCGTGCGGCGTGGGGGCACCGCCGGGAAGGACGCGGTGGCGACACGGTGGGGATCGCGCTGAAGGATGCGCTGGGGGCGGCGGGCGACACCGGGACTGCGGGACCCCCGGTGGCGGGCTCCTCCCGGTTCCCGGCTGCCGGTGGTGCCTCTCGCCCTGCCCGTGAAGTCGCGGATCGCTGCGGCGGGAGGGGGGCGGCCGCCCGGCCGGTTCGTGTCCCGGTGGCCGCGCTGCCGGGCGGGGCTCGGCGGCTCCCGGTGCGGGCGCGACGAGGTCGTGGGTACCGGGGGAAGAGCCCCCCCCGCCAGCGCTGAGCCACCGGGGGCAGCGGGGACAGTCTGGCTCCCCCAGACATCCATCTCCCGGCGCGCCGGGGTGGGCAGGGGTCCCGCTCCCCCCGCATGTCTGGGTGCGGGAGCGGCACCGGCGGCGCGGCGGAGGCGGGGGGGCCCGACAGGTGCCTGCCGCCCCCCACCACCGTCCTTGCCCGGCAGCGGTGGCTCCGGGGCTGCGGGGACAGCGGAGGGTGGGAGCGGCCACCGGGAGCGGAGCAGTCGGGGGTCGGTGGCCTTGGCCGCCCAGCCCCTCCCTCACACCCTGCGCCGGGGCTGCCTCTGCCCTCGCCGGCGCACCCGCAGCTGGAAATCGGGATGTGGATGGGCACGGTGTGGGCTGGACCCTCTGGGGAAATGGGGGCTGCGCGCCTGTGGTGTGTCCGTGGATCCTTCCACGCGGATCCGCGCCGGCTGCCATCGCCCACCTCTCCGTCCCTCGCTGGTGCGAGCGCCCAGGGGTGTGGCGGGGACACGCATCCAGCCAGAGCATCCTCTGGTGCCCGTCAGTGCAGGGGCTGCCCGCATCCCACTCCCCTTTTGTGCAGGGTGGGACAGCCCCGGCAGCCCCCTCCCCTGCTATTGGGATTGTGTCGCCAGGCGGAAGCTCGGGCCCCATAAATCGTGCGTGTGCGCGACGTGCCGAGGCGCAGCACAATGCTGAGGTGTCGCCACGCTCGGCACCCCCTTCACCCCCATCCTCCCCACACCGTGACATCGCCACATCGCTGGTCACCCCCACCCTCATCTCTCCGTGACTCCCCAAATCACCACCACCACCGCCACCCTGGCACCTCTGGAGGGACAGGGCGGAGAGGGGGTGGCAGTGCCCGGGCCGTGCCAAGGCGGGGGTGTCGCAGACAGATGCCCGCACCCCCTGCGCAGGCGTGTCTGGCACGGCCGCCAGCGTCCAGCTCGGGGCATGGGCGGCGCGGTGGGGGCGGCTGCGGCAGAGCCGTGTCCCGGGGACTCCGGAGCTGATATTTATTGTTAGGCAGTGCGGCAGCTCGGACGCAATTATAGCCGCACGGCAAAGTGTCTGGATTGGATAAATTATGGGGGGAATTAGGCTCCCTGGGCCGCAGCCTGCAAATCCCAGCAACCCTGCTGCAAGTGGAGCCATAAACAAGCTCGGCGCGGCTCTCTGGGGAGGAGGGGGTTGCTGGCTGGGCCACAAATTTATTGTGGTTCTTGCCATGCCACCCTGGGTACCCCTGTTGATGCCCTCAGTGGGACAACAGGATGAGAGGCAACACAAAGAGCAGCCTGATGGTGCCTTGGGAGGCAGCTCAGCCCCTTTGGCCGTGTGGGGGTGGCAGGAGGTCAGAAAGGGTCCCCAAGCAGGCAGAGCACCCCTCGTGCTGTGGGTTTGGGGTGTGTTGGTTAATCCCAGGGGAGGTGTGAAGGTGGGATGCTCAAACCCTGCTGCTGCTCGGCCTGGTTGTTGGTGCAGCTGTGCATTCCATCCCTCTGTCCCATCACCTCCACAGGCAGCAAGCCCTGGGGGTGTGGGATGACCCTTGACTCATCCCTGCCCTGCACTCCCCCATCCTGCCAGGAATAGGCCCGGTGGCATGGGACAAAGGTGCAGGACAGCCACGTCCACCCAGCACTAGTTTTTTTGGGGCCTGTGACCCATTGAGCAGGGTCAGGGATTCCTGGAGTGACCCCAGACAAGCCAGATCCTGGCCTGCTGGAGGCTCTCTCCCTGCTGTGTGTCCAGATGCCAAGATGGGGACAGCAATTTGTCCCTGTTCATGGACACAGACACGGCCAGCACCCCAGAGCAGGTTGGGGTGTACCACCCTGTGCCACTGACTGATTTGGGACCCGAGGATGCTCCAACTGAGGGCATTGGTGCCATGGAGGGGGTGCTGTGACACAGGGGTACAGAGGGTGCCTGGCTGTGGTGTGGGGGTCAGAGCCCACCTGTGTGCGGGCAGCTTGTGGCACCTTGTGCAGGCACACGGCTCGTGCAGCTCCCCCAGCACTGGCACTGCCACCACGCTCACCTCTTCAAAGGTGGCTTTGTCTGGCCCAGGCTGTGCTGCAGGCAGCGAGGGCTGGAGTGGGCTGTGGAGAGGGTTGGAGTGGGCCCTGGAGAGGCCTGGAGTGGGCTCTGGGGAGTGTCTCACACAGGAGAGGAGCCACATCCCTGCAGAGCAGGTCTGGAGGGGCCCAGGCTCCTCTGCAGCAGCCAAACCCCAACACCAGGGCTGTGCCCGGCCAGATCCCCCCACCCCATAACCACCAGTACCCACAGGGCTGAGGAGGAGTCACCCACAGCAGGAGGGACCCAGCAGGAGGTGCTGCAGCTTGTGGGGCAGCTGTGCCCAAGCAGGGACAGTTCTGTGCCCACTCGTGGAGCTGAATGTAGGCACAGTGCCAACAACACCCCCTTTGGCACCCCTAGGCTGGTTTGGGGGCTCAACCAGCCCTCACCCCATACCTCTGCCCTCCAGAATGGGCACCCAGAAACCCCAAAAACCCCACCACACGTGGGTGCTGGTCACAGGAGCGGGTGCCCACGGGCAGAGCGCGCCGTGCCCCGTGAGTCACGGCGCTGGGCGGCACCGAGCCCCGGCAGCACCGACGGCGTTCCCGTGGGAGAAGCGGCCGCCGTGTCGGGGTGCAACAGGGCCGGGGCCACCTGCTCCTGCCCGGGCTGGTAATTGAGTCACCGGTTGCAGATTGATGGTTTAATTAAAACCCAATTAGAAAGCTCATTGATCTTGTTAGCAACACGGGAAGGGGCCGGTTTTAGTTGGGATTACGGGGATTTTTTGCCGTCGATAGTGACGGTGGCACCTGTAGGGTGCTTGGGGAGGGCTCTGCCTGTCCCACCGGTGCCACCCACGCGTGGATCAGCCCTCACCTCCCCTTGGAGCATTCCCCACGCAGTGAGGTGGCCCTGGGGACACCGTGTGCCGGCGATGCCGTTAGCGCCTTGCGGCTGCGCCAGGCGAGGCCGGGGGGGGTTGTGCCGTGGCTCGGTGCCACCCGTGTGCGTGGGCAGCGTCGCGGGCGCTGTCTGCCGAGCCAGCGCGCGTGTGCGTGGCCGTCTGGGCGCCGTGACTGTGCAGCGCTGGCTGCGTGGGGAGGGCTGGCACGGGGTGGGGGGAGACACACCGTGCCCCCCATCTCCCCCACGGTGGGTACAGGAGGATGGTCGGTCTGTCGGTCTGTCCGTCTGTCCCGCTGTCCCTTAGGGTGGCCCAGCCGCAGCGCTCGTGTTGCACGAGGTGACGGGAAGGGGACTCGTAAATCAATGGCACTTTTTTGTTCCCCGGGTGATGGATGGGCGGCGGATGCGCCAAAAGGACGAAGCTACAGGAGCTGAACAAAGAGCCTGGCTGTGCTGGGGGCTGCCCAGTGCTGGGGGGCACCGCGTGGAGGGCACACCACGCTGCCCTGCTCCTCGCTGCTGGCACCACCCATGTGGGGTGCTGAGCCCAGCTCTGGCCCCGCTGCCCTCCAGGCCTCTCCAGCATCATGGCAGCGAGTTTTTGGAGTGTGGGGGTCAGTCCAGGGGTCTGGTGCCACCATGCCACCGCTGCCAGGGCATGCTGCAGTGCACCAGGCGCTCCCCAGCAGTGTGGGAGCCAGCGTGCGGCACGCAGCCCGGATTTATGACAGCAGATGGGAGCGGAGCGGCCACCCAGCTCTGCCAGGTAGCCAGGAGTGCCACCAGGGTGCCACCAATGTCCCTCCGGTGTGGGGCCGGTGGGCAGCGAGCCCGGGGCCGGTGCTGCCAGGGGACATCCATCTGCCCAGCGTGACAGGCTGCTGGAAGGTACCAGTGCCTCGCCAAGCCCTGCTCTACAAACGCAGTCGTGCAGAAGTGATGCTGCCCGTTCTCCTCCCGCACTTAACCCTTCGGGCACTGCCAGAGCCCACCATCCCCACCAGCCATGCCATGGCTGCCGGGGTCTGGGGTATCGAGGGTCCATCCCAGCCCAGTTTGCTGATGCTTCTCATCACTGTGGAGGTGGCAGGGACCAGCTCATGGCTGCTCTGGGATGGGTGCTGGTGAGAAAAGAGGCAGAGTCCCTCTCCCAGAGTGTCTGTTCCTGCCCTTCCACCCCAAACCAAGGCTCGAGGCCTTCCTGGATGGTGCTGTCAGCAGATCTTGGAGCACTTGGGCTCATTGCACTGAAGGGGCTGCCGGATTTGGGGGGATCTAGAGTTGCTGCTCTGCAGTGATTGTGCAGGAGACAAGCATGACAAGGACACTGTGTTGTGGCCAAAGCTGCTACTGGATGTCCCTCAGGCTGTGGTGGCCCTGTGGCTCTCCCCAAAGGGGCCATCCCCAGCCCCTCCCAGCTTATGATGATGCCTGTGGGTTCCTGGCATGCTGTGGCAGCTGGCAATGCCCGTGGGAGTCACCACCATGGCCATTGCCACGCCACCTGAGGCTCCTGCACCCTGCCATGGGTGCTGCTGTCCCCCAGCCCATGGGGACATTTTGGTGCCTCGTTAGTGAGGCTGTTTATCACTTCTTAATGAGCTGTGGCTTAACGAGGCCCAGCCTGGGGTCCCAGGGGGCTGTGCCACAGGGGAACGGGGGTTACCCCGTGACAGAGTGCCACTCGTGACACTTCTCCTTGTCCCTCTGTCCCTTGGCACAGCCACAGCCCGGCTGTGGGGAGCCCAAACTGCGGGTGCCCTCCCCAGTGTGGGGCAGCTGCTATTGGGGTACACCCGCGTCCCAACCCTGCGTCCCGCGTGGAGTTAATTGCAATTTTCTCCTCGGGGCCATTTCTTTAATAACAAACCTTTTTCTCCCCCCTCCCCCCTTCCCACCACATCAAAGGGGGAAGATGAAAGGTCCCGGCGCCCGCTCAGCAAGGGTGGCTGCCTCAGCACCTTCCCGGCGGAGCAGTTGCCGGCGGGTACCGGGATGGGCTGCGGAGTAGCGGCTGCGCAGCGAGGGAGGGGCCGCGTGGGGCTGCGCTGCTGTCCCACGAGTGATGAGTTCTGCTTCAACCACCCCTCCGTTACCCCCCCAAGTACCGGAGGCGGCGCGTTTTGTCCCCCTCCTTTGCCACCCGACACCGGTGGTGTCTCCGCCGCTCTGCTCCGGTGCCGCGGGCGTTGGCGGCGTGCCGGGACTCCTCGAACATCGCCGTGGGTGATGATGCAGGGTGGGGCGTCTGCACGCGTGGCCCTGCCCGCTGCCTGCCCAGCCCTGCCGGGGAGACCCACGGAACCGCTCGGGGACCCGGAGTGATGCTTTGGGGGTTCACGGTTTGGGTTTTGCCCTGGGAGGTGGGAAAAGATGCAGAAGCAGCATCTGGAGCTCCCACGCGTGCCGGGATGATGCTGGCCGTGTCCCGCGAGTCTCCGGTCAGGGTCCGGTACCGAGCCAGCTCCCGGTGGTAATTAATTGGCAGGACCGGTGGTAATTAATTGGCAGGAGCAGCGGGTCAGAGCGGCGGCGAGGATTACCGCGGCCGGGATTTCCATCGGGCGCGGATTAGGAGCCAGCGGAGCCTCTCCCGAGTGGATCTGAGGGGATTTCTTGCTCCTAATCAATGTAAATGAGGCTCCCCCAGGGCCACCCTTTACGGCATTAACGAACTAACGGGATTAACCGGAGCGGGGTGAGAAATCCTGGCTCCGAGCGGCGACGCGTGCCAGGGCCGCGGTGGGCGGCAGCGGTGGGTCGGCTCCAGGCTGCTGGAAATGGGGAATGCCAGGGAATTCCAGGGAATTCCAGGCAATTCCGAGGTCCCCTGTGCACCCACGGGCTGTGCCCCATGGAGACCCCACTGCCTGTGGGGCGCTGATGCCATTCTGGGTCTGTCTGTGTGTCCATCGTCTCCTCTTTGAGGCTGTCTCATAGTTCTGTCCTCTTCTCTGTCCCACCTCTGCATGTGGTTTGACGCCTGTCCCCCATCAGGTCCCCCCATGGCCTCCAGGATGGAGGTTCTGCCCCACTCGTGAGGCTCAGGCCATGCAGAGGTCCCACAAAGGGGTGGAACAGGGGTGGAACAGGGGGTATCACTGCTCCCACAGTTCCAACATCATCCAGCCTCTGGCTGCCCTTGGAAATCCCAGTTTGGGGAAGTTCAGGGCGTGTCCCTGACCTCCCACCCCTTCCTTCCCTCGCAGCCTGCGGCGGGAGGGCTACACGGTGCAGGTGAACGTCAACGACTACCTGGACATCTACTGCCCCCACTACAACGCCTCGGTGCCCGAGCACCGGCTGGAGCAGTACGTGCTCTACATGGTGAATGCAGAGGGATACCGCACCTGCAACACCAGCCAGGGCTTCAAGCGCTGGGAGTGCAACCGGCCCCACGCGCCCCACAGCCCCATCAAGTTCTCGGAGAAGTTCCAGCGCTACAGCGCCTTCTCGCTGGGCTACGAGTTCCGTGCGGGGCAGGAGTACTACTACATATGTACGTGGGGTGTTGGGGAGGGACCCCCACACATCCCTCAAGCCCCACATCGGGTCCCACCCCAGCTGGGTCCCCTCAGGTCCCACCCCTCTGCGTCCCCTTTGGTTGATTCCCCAAAATTGGGCAGCTGTTTCCCCCTCTAAGAGTGGGAACCTGGAGCTCTGGGAGGGGTTTAAGGAGCAAAGGGGTGGAGAGGGAACAGAGGGGTGTAGGGAAAGATGAGGAGAAGGTTGGGGCTGTGGATGGGGGTGTCAGTGCGTGATGGGGTGCTGGGGGATGGTGATGTTGGATGCAGGATCAGGGATTGCAGCGTTGGTGCCAGATGCTGGAGCTGATGTTTCAGGCCTGGGGTGCCAGTACAGGGCACTGGTGCAGGATTTGGACCCCCACACAGCCCCCAAGCCCCCCCTCGGGTCCCACCCCAGCTGGGTCCCCTCAGGTCCCACCCCTCTGCGTCCCCTTGGGCTGGTTCCCCAAAATTGGGCAGGTGTTCCCCCTCTAAGAGTGGGAACCTGGAGCTCTGGGAGGGGTTGAAGGAGCAAAAGGGTGGAGGGGAGGGGATTTGCATGGTGCAGGGAACAGAGGGGTGTGGGGAAAGATGAGGAGAAGGTTGGGGCTGTGGATGGGGGTGTCAGTGGGGGATGGTGATGTAGGATGCAGGATCAGGGATTGCAGCGTTGGTGCCAGATGCTGGTGCCAGGTTGGGATACTGGAGCTGATGGCTCAGGCCTGGGGTGCTGGTACAGGATTTGGGGTGCTGTTGCATTCCCCCAGCCCAGAACACACCCCTGGGCAGTACCAGACCCCTCTCTGTCCACCTCGGGGTGCCTGGGGTTGGGATTGCTGCCATGGAACCCCTCTCAGCACTCTCTTGCCTTGCAGCCACGCCAACACACAACCACCACCGGGCCTGCCTGAAGATGAAGGTGTTCGTCTGCTGCTCCTCCAGTAAGTACCCCCGTGCCCATCCCGGGGGCGGCGAGGCTGGCCGGTGGGTCCCCCGTCCCTCCTGAGGGGTGAGGGGTGCATGGGGGCATCCAGGGAGTGTGACCCCCGTCCCCTCTCTCCCTCCACAGCGTCGCACTCCGGGGAGAAGCTGGCACCCACCCTGCCCCAGTTCACCCTGCGGCCCGAGGTGAAGATCGAGGACCTGGGTGAGTCCAGCACAGCCCCCGGCCCCCCAGCACCGTGTCCCTGTCCCCATCCCCATCCCCGCCGCCGCCCCTGGGGCATCCCCAGCTATGGGGGTGGGGGGTCAGGACCACCCTGCTGCCCTCCTCATCCTCTCACTCCTCCCCACAGAAAACTTCAACCCGGAGATGCCGAAGCTGGAGAAGAGCATCAGCGGCACCAGCCCCAAGCGGGAACACTTACCCCTGGCCGTGGCCGCCGCGCTCTTCCTCATGACCCTATTGGCCTCGTAGCTCCCGGCACCCATGGGTGCGACCCCCTCGAGCTGCTGCCCCTCGTGAGAGCCAGCGGGGAAGCACCGGGAGCCCACCACCCCCTGCCCGGAGAGCCACCAGCGGAGCTGGGAGCACGGCACGCACCGATCCGGCTGGACTCGCCTTCCATCCTGCACAGGGATGCGACCGGGAGCCGTCCCCGGGAGCCATCCCCGGGAGCCATCCAAGGGATCCGTCCCCGGTAGCCATCCCCGGGATCCGTCCCCGGGATCCGTCCCCGGGAGCTGTCCCGGGATCCATCCCCGGAGCCGTCCCCGGAGCCATCCCCGGAGCCGTCCCCAGGAGCCATCCCCGGGATCCGTCCCCGGAGCCATCCCCGGGATCCGTCCCCGGGAGCCGTCCCCGGAGCCGTTCCCGGGCTCCATCCCCGGGATCCGTCCCCGGAGCCGTTCCCGGGAAACGTCCCCGGAGCCGTCCCCGGGAGCCATCCCCGGGAGCCATCCCCGGGATCCATCCCCGGGAGCCATCCCCGGAGCCGTCCCCGGGATCCATCCCCGGGATCCGTCCCCGGGAGCCATCCCCGGGAGCCATCCCCGGGATCCGTCCCCGGAGCCATCCCCGGAGCCGTCCCCGGGAGCTGTCCCGGGAGCCGTCCCCGGGAGCCATCCCCGGGAGCCGTTCCCGGGAGCCATCCCCGGGATCCGTCCCCGGGAGCCGTCCCTGGAGCCATCCCCGGAGCCATCCCCGGAGCCATCCCCGGGATCCGTCCCCGGGATCCGTCCCCGGAGCCATCCCCGGGATCCGTCCCCGGGATCCGTCCCCGGAGCCATCCCCGGGATCCGTCCCCGGGACCGCGGGGTCCTTCCCGCAGCCCCCCCGGTGCCCCCGTGGCTGCCCCATGGTTGGGGGGCAGCACCGACCCTGATGAAGGCAGGGCGGTCTGTACATACCCATATAGATCTATACATACTGTACAGAGAGCGACTACAGAGATATATCTATACTGTACCATAGGCAGCGGCGCCGGCCCCGGGCTGGCTTGTACATAGTCGAACGTGTTGGATTTTCCTCGTCTTCCGTGAAGACCCGACCTATGCAAACGCACAGACACTTTTTGGGGAAAAACAAAACAAACGGAAAAAAGAAAAAAAAAAAAAAAAAACATTCTCGATCTTTTTTTCAAGTGCTTTGGCTGGTGATTTTCATATTCTGCTCTTAGTCTATAAAAAAAAATAATAAAAGGATAAAAAAAGGGATCCCTGTCACGGTGGTGTGCAGCACTTCCAGCCCTCGGAGGGGTCCCAGGGGGGCTCCGGCTCGGGCAGGCGTTCAGGAGAGGGCTGATCCCACCGTGCCACCCGCCTTGCCGGGCACAACTGGGCTGGGTACCGCTGGCAGGAGGACGTGGTGCTTCCCACAGGAATGTGGCATGGACAGCAGGAGCGTTTGAAGGTAAGGGCGGCACAGGGGAGCTTGGCACGCAGCCCTGGGGGTGCTGGGGTGGCATTTAGGAGCAGGAGAGCCTTCCTCACCATCCTCACCAGCAGACATGGGGTGCTGGCAGCCCCATGGGAACTGCGGCATCGCCCCTGCGGCGTGTCTGGCTGGGCTGGGCATGTCAGCTCCTGCCTGTTCCGGGGGGATCTGGCACACGCTGGTGGCTCCTGTGGGGTGGGGGACACCATCATCATCCCCCCACCACCTCCAAGCAAGAGAATGTGGCAGCTGGGTGATGCCTGGGGGTGGGATCGCATCTAAAGGGGACCCCCCAGACCCCCACAAACACAGTGGAGCAGTCGTGGGGCTCCTGACCCTGCGCCCTGGGAGGGGACAGCCACTGTCCCCACAGGGCAGCAAGGCATGAGGGGCTGTGAGACCCCCGCTGCCGGTGTGGATTCCTGGGGAAGGGGGTCCTCGCAGCCCCGGAGAGCAGGGCAGCCACTCTCCCCCACCCAGAGGTGCTGCTGGGCGGTGGCTGGGTGTCCCGCCGGCCTGGGCTTGTCTGGGTGCAGCAAGAGTCGAGGAACCCGTCAGACGGGTCCTGGAGCTCTCCCAGCAGGCGCTGGGTTCCCCACATCCCCCCCCTGAGCTCCAAGCTCCGAGCTCCGAGCTCCGAGCTCCGACCTCCGAGCTCCGAGCTCCGAGCTGTGAGCTCCGAGCTCCGAGCTCCGAGCTCCGGCAGGCCTGGCCCGACATGGTCCCTGCCGTGGGGACCTGAGGTGGCACTGGCAGCTGTCAGGGCAGGGTGGGCACGGTGTGGGCAGGGCCAACTGCCACATCCAGCCAGTGCTGATTGCCAGGCACTGGCCAAAGCGACTGTCCCGCTGTGGTGCCATGCTGGTGGCACGTGGCGCGGTGAGGTTGACACAGCTTGGGTGGCCAGTGCCCTGGGGGGGTGTGAGAGCTGGAGTTATCGCCCTGGCACAGAGAGTTCTGCCTGAAGGATCCCTCCTGCCACTCGCCTCCACCCTGGCACCGCTTCTTGTGCGTGCGTGGCACCAGCGATGGCTCGGTGGGCACCTGGCTCAGGTTAGGGTTAGGGTTAGGGTTAGACAGCCTAGACCCACCAGGAGACTTCTGGGGTGCTGGTGGAGGGGATACCCAAGCCCAGCTGCCCCAAATCAAGGGGGGGACCATTGTTAGGACCCCAGTGCTGATGTTTGGGTGCCCCTTGGGTACTCTGGCGTTTCACAGCCTTGGCAGCAGATCCAGGCAGGGGGATGTGTGCCAGGAGCAGCAGTGTGGCACGAGGTTCTGCCTCACCTTGGGGCAGCTCCCCTGCCCGGTGTGGGCAAAGGAAGGTCCTGGCACGGCTGGACAGCTCTGCTCCCACCAGGCTGGCATCAGGCCATGCCTACCTGCCATGCCTACCTGCCAGGCTGCACGCAGCTGGCACTGCGTCACCGCGGCCTTCGCTCCCGGCCACAAACTGGACGGCTCCTCTTCCTCCCCCAGCCTTGTGTGGGTGACGTCAGCTCTGCCAGGGGCCGGGGCACTCCCGGGGGCACTCCCGGGTGTCCCCAGCCAACAAACCACAAACGCTGTCACGAGTTCGGCGCCCTCTGGCCAACCCTGCCTGCCCCACACGGAGCAGCAGCGATGTTTACTTCACCTTTGTCCCTCCGTCATGGGCACCAATCCCAGTCTATTGTCACCTGCTCCCAGGTGCCGTGGTGGCCATGACCATGTGCACCATGTGCACTGGCACCCCCAGTGCCACTCTGATGGGCACCCACCCTACCCAATGCCCCAAGAGGGAGGTAATGGGGCATTTCTGACCCCAGTTTTTGTCCCAGACTGTCCCAAGCAGGGGATATGGGCTTGTCTTTCCAGTCCTGGTCCTCCAGCAGTGCTCTGGGCCAGGCATGGTGGTGGCACTGGGTCTCGGTGTGTCCCTGTGGCCTGCTGGGGCCATGGCACGTGGGACAGGGGGCTGGGTACCACATCCCAGTGCCACAGGATGGATCCAGCGTGGTCTCCCAGGAGGCTCCTTACGCCCCAGCACAAGGCTCAAGCACCAGGGGCTGCCCATCCCTCCTTCCACCAGCGCTCCCTGCCTCAGTTTCCCAGGCACAGCCTGTCCCTGACGCGGAGGGGGCAGTACCAGGGTGGTGCCAGCACCATGGGATTGATGCTGCACCCATCCCCGTGGCCTGCACGTGCCACGCTCCACCTCTGGGATCTCTGGGATCTCTGGGATCTCTGGGATGTTCCCAGGAGGTGCTGCCCTGTACAAGCCACGGCAGCGCCGGCATCCCGGGAACAGAGGCCTGGCACTGTCATTAAGGATGATGTCAGGCCTGGCCACAACAGGGAGGATGAGAGCAAAGCAGCCTCCCTGGGAGCGAGGGTGTGGGGAGAGAGGCTGGATGTGGGGGGGATGTGGGGCACTCAGCCCCACAACCCGGGCCTGTAGGATGCCATGAGCCACGGTTGCTCTCGGGTTGCGGTGCCGGCGCCCCTGCCGCGTGCCAGGGGAGCTCTCCGTGCCCGCTGCGGCACAGGGCATGCAACATTACCCACAATCAATGGATCATTATGGAATAAACAAGAGGAAAGTTGTTTTGCAAACGCGGCTGAGTTATCGCTTCGCGACACGCGGCGGAGCGGCGCGCGCCGGCCGGGCCACCGATGGATCCGTGTCACGGCAAATGGGAGCCGACAGCCTGGCACCGCGCTCCTGCCAGGCTGTGGCAGTGTGCCCGCTGTGCCCACCCCGGCTCTGCACCTACAGAGCCTGTTCTGCACCTCCAGAGCCTGTTCTGCACTTACAGACCCCTCTTCTGCATCCACAGCCTCATCCTGCACCTACAGACCCCTCTTCTGCACCTACAGAGCCTGTTCTGCACCTACAGAGCCTCTTCTGCACCTACAGCACCCCGTTCTGCACCTACAGACCCCTGTTCTGCACCTCCAGAGCCTCTTCTGCACCTCCAGCCTCATCTTGCACCTACAGACCCCTGTCCTGCACCCACAGACCCCTCTTCTGCACCTACAGACCCCTGTCCTGCACCTACAGAGCCTCTCCTGCACCTACAGACCCCTGTCCTGCACCTACAGAGCCTCTCCTGCACCTACAGACCCCTGTCCTGCACCTACAGAGCCTCTCCTGCACCTACAGACCCCTGTCCTGCACCTACAGAGCCTCTTCTGCACCTACAGACCCCTGTTCTGCACCTCCAGAGCCTCTTCTGCACCTACAGACCCCTGTTCTGCACCTCCAGAGCCTCTTCTGCACCTCTAGAGCCTGTTCTGCACCTCCAGAGCCTCTTCTGCACCTCTAGAGCCTGTTCTGCACCTACAGAGCCTCTTCTGCACCCACAGCCCCCAGTCCTGCACCTACAGACCCCTGTCCTGCACCTACAGAGCCTCTTCTGCACCTACAGAGCCTCATCCTGCACCTACAGACCCCTGTTCTGCACCCACAGACCCCTGTTCTGCACCTACAGCCTCATCCTGCACCCACAGACCCCTGTTCTGCACCTACAGAGCCTCTTCTGCACCTACAGACCCCTGTCCTGCACATACAGACCCCTGTCCTGCACATACAGACCCCCGCCATGCACATACAGACCCCTGTTCTGCACCCACAGTTATCCCTCCTGCACCTACAGACCCCTGTCCTGCGCCCACAGACCCCTGTCCTGCACCTACGGAGCCTGTTCTGCACCTACAGCCCCCCATCCCGCACCCACAGCCCCCTGTCCTGCACCCACAGCCCCATCCTGCACCCACAGCCCCCTCTTCTGCACCCACAGCCTCATCCTGCACCCACAGCCCCCAGTCCTGCACCCACAGCCCCATCCCGCACCCACAGCCCCCCATCCCGCACCCACAGCCCCCCATCCCGCACCCACAGCCCCCCATCCTGCACCCACAGCCCCCTGTTCTGCACCCACAGCTCTCCCTCCTGCACCCAGAGCACCCCGTCCTGCACCTACAGACCCCTGTCCTGCACCCACAGCCCCATCCCGCACCCACAGCCCCCCATCCTGCACCCACAGCCCCATTCTGCACCCACAGCCCCCACCCCACACCCACAGCCCCCCACAGCCCCCAGTGCATGTGTGGAGCCCGTGCCCGGTGTGGGTCACTCGTGGGGGGGTGACCCCACTCCGTGCCGGTCCCATGCGGGGGGATGGGGGGTGGGTGTGTGTGTGTATGGGGGGGGGTCCCCTTCCCGGTGGTGGGGCGGGGGTGCGTTTGTCTCCCGGTAGGGGAGGTTTGCACCCCCCTCCCCGCTGCCGGTGCCGGTGTCGGGGATCGCGCGTCCCCTCCGGTGCCGCTGCCGGTGCGGGGGGAGTTTCCCGTCCCTCTGAGCGATACCGACGGGGGTGTGTCGCGTGTGTGTCGTCCCCCCCCGCCTCGTCCCGCGTGTTGTTGTGCAGCGGCGGGGGCGGAGCGGCGGCGGGGCCGTACTTAAGGCGGGGGCGGGCGCGGGGCCGCCGGTGGAGCGCAGCGCCCGCGGAGCGATGGGGCAACCGGGGGTGCCCCTGGCCCTGCTGGGGCTGGGGCTGTGCTGGGCTGCGGCGGCCGAGCGGCACACGGTGTTCTGGAACAGCTCCAACCCCCGGTGAGTGACCCCCCCGCGCGCATCCCACCGGGACCCCTCCCCGGTAACGCGCACCGGCACCGGCACCGAGCGCCCCGAGGGCGCGGGCGGCGCCGCTCCGCTCCCCGCGGCCTTTGTGCGGGACGGGGCCGGTGCGGGGGGTGGCGGGGCCGCTCCAGGTGTGCCCGGGGGGGCCTTTCCGTTCCCAGGGCCGTGCGAAGGGGCCGTTTCCTTCCCGCCGGGGGGGGGCACGGCGCCAGCCCCGGCGCCGGCCCCGGGGACCGTGTTGACAAACACGGGGCAGGATGTGCGGTGGAGGGGGGGGTAGAGCTGGATCGGGGCTCACCGGGCTGTGGGGTGACCCCATGTCAGCCCTACAGGCTCTAGGGGTCCCCCCCGCCCGCAGCCTTGAGTCCCTTTGCTTGTTGAGGTGCTCTCTCAGGCTCTAGGATTTTGGGGTGAACCCCCACCCCACTCTCCAGCCCCCCCAGTTGTGGGGCTGCCCCACACTCAGGCATCTCCTCTTTCCCGTCACTCCGCTTTTGGGGTTTTCCCCCTGCCCAACCCATGCCCCCCACGACCCCATATTATAGGGGAGGTTTTTGGGGTGTCCCGTGGGTGGCTGTACCTTCTCGAGGCCACCCCAGCCGGCGAGTTGGAGACCCCATGGAGGCTCCCAGCGTGTCCCCACCCCCGGCTGGGGTGTGGGGTGCAGTGGAGCCCGGCTGGCTGCCCCACGGCGAGCGGCGCGACGCCTCCTGCTCCGGGTGCAGGGTGCGGGCAGGGTGCGGGCAGGGTGCGCGTCCCAGCGGGTCCCTCCCTGCTCCCCGGCTCTTGGCAAGTGGGGTGCCCTCGCCCCTCGCTGCCGGGGGGCCGAGCCCGAGGGAGAGCGAAGGTGGGGTTGCCCTTTCAAAGCTGTTCCAGGTGCTGCAAGACTCAGCACAACAAAGGGTGGACCCATGGGTGCCCCTGCCCGGCGCTGATATGGCCACGGTGGTGTCCCCCATGGGTATAGGGGTTTGGGGGTGCAAATAAAGCCCTTAACCCAAACCTGACCCCCCTGCCGACCCTCCTGTGGAAGGTTTCTGTGGAGTGACTACACGGTGGAGGTTCGTCTCAATGACTACCTGGACATCATCTGCCCCCACTACGAGGAGGGCAGCGTGGACCCCCGGGCCATGGAGCGCTACACGCTGTACCTGGTGGAGCTGGAGGAGTACCAGGCCTGCAAGCCCCGCTCCAAGGAGCAGATCCGCTGGGAATGCGACAAGCCCAGCGCCCTGCACGGCCCCGAGAAGTTCTCCGAGAAGTTCCAGCGCTTCACTCCCTTCACACTCGGCAAAGAGTTCAGGGAGGGGCACAGCTACTACTACATCTGTGAGTGTTGGGGGGCTGTGGGGTGCTGCAGGGACTCTCCAGCGGGTTCCCCCCATCCCTTCCTCACCTTGCCTCTCCCTCCACAGCCAAACCCATCCACCACCACGGTGAAGCCTGCCTGAAGCTGAAGGTGACGGTGACAGGCAAAGGCAGTGAGTATCACACCCCCTCGGGGCCCCCCCCGTGTGCCCAGCGTGGCCTTGGCTGGGCTGAGTCACGGCCTGGCCGTGGCCCCTGGCCAGCCCGGGGTGTGGGCACGCACAGCTTGGCCAGGAAGGTGTTGGTGGGGGCACAACCCACAGCAGAACGGGATTTTTGGGATTTTGGGGTGCTGCCTTCCCTGGTGTCACCCCCTGTTTGCTCCGCAGCTCCGGCACCGCCTGCCCCGGCCTCAACGCAGAAGGGGAGGATCCAGGCAGGTGTGTTGGGGGCTGTGGGTTGGGGCTGAGCCAACTTCCCTTCTGGGGTGTTCTTGGGGGTGCCAGGAGGCAGGTGGGGGGCACTGGCCTGAACACAGCCCCCCAGGGGTTTGCTGGGGGCACTGGGGCTCATCTGCCCCTTCTGGGGGGCTCTGGAGCTGGCTGAGGTGCCAAGGCTGGTGGCAGCGCTCTGCAGGGGTGTTGTGCTGCTGTTTTGGGGTGCAGCTTGTCTTTGGGGGTGCTGATGGCTCCTCTTTTCCCCCCCTGCAGACGACGCGGCCGCACACGTGCTGAGGAGCGTGGGGCAGAACTCGGCCATGCGCAGCAGCAGCCGCCCCTTCACCTTTATCAGCCTCCTCCTGCCCCTGCTGGTGCCACAGGGGCTCTGAGCTGCCCCTGGTGCCCGGACCCACCGAGGCTGTGGCCATTGGGGACCCCCGTGGTCCCCACACATCTGCCCCGGGTGCCCTGCCCTGTGCACATCTGGGCAAGGAAAGGATTTGTGTCAGTATTACGGGGCTGGAAGGCCCAAAGCCATCGGAGCAGCTGGAGCCTTCAGGCTTCCCTCGCCCTTCCAGGACGGTCCTGGCAGCTAGAGACCGAGCAGGAGCCTGGAGCTGGAGGGGCTGAGGTGCCCCAGACTGGAGAGGGGCAGGGGGCTGGCACCCCTGCCCACATCTGAGCTCGCCCACCACCCTCGGGGCTTTCCCAGTGGTGGGCTGGAACTGGAATGTGTCCTGCAGGCGGGGACCTGGGGGTGGCCAGGTGACCCCAGTGTCAGTAGCCAGGGAGCACAGACAGGCTGGAGATGCCCTGCAGCCAGGGGAGCGGGGTTGTACTAAAATCCCCCTCCTCGCTGTGCTGCACCCCTACCCCGTCCTTCATCCCCTGGTCCTTCCCCATCCCTCCCCTCCGCTGGGTGCCGGAGGGGCCCCCCAGCACCCCCTTTGTACAGCTTTTGACACGGGATTTTTTTATACCATTGTGGGGAATAAATAACCAAAACCGCGCTGAGCTCCTGAGACCTCCCCCACCCTCCTGGGCCAAGGCTCTCCTGGCCCCTGTGGGGGGTTGGGCTGGTTAATTAATTAATTGGCTGGTGTTTGCACGGGGCTGTTAAGTGGCAAAGTGCCACAGTGGCTGGCACTGTCCCCGGCTTTATCTGGTGACACAAAGGGCTCCCCTGAGGGTAGGGACCCCTCCCCCTGCGGGTAGGGACCCCTCCCCCTGCTCTGCTGTGAGCTTCCAGGTGGGGGGCAGCGGCCCCTGGGGCAAACCCCCCTGGAATGGGACAGATCCCATGGGATGGGCCTGATAAATCCCCCTGAGCCAGAGCCCAGCGAGGCTGGGCAGGGGACACAGCCTGGCTGCACCCCAGGGACCCCCACGGGGTGACCCCAGGGATGTGGGACCCCCTGAGGGTGAGACACTGTGGGGAACCCTAGAGATGGAGGGTCACAGAGAGGGGTCACAGGGATGAGAGACCCCCAGGATGTAGGGGGGCACCCTGGGGTCACGGGGAAAATGTGGACCCCAGGATCCTGGGGATGCAGAATCCTGCGGAATTACTGTCACACAGGGATGTGTGACCCCCAGGATGTGTGGGGACACCCTGGGACAGGGGGGTCACGGGGGAAATGTGTATCCCAGAATTCTGGGGAATTGTCACAGGGATGTGTGACCCCCAGGATGTGTGGGGACACCCTGGGTCAGTGGGGTCACAGGGGAAATGTGGACCCCAGGATCCTGGGGAATTGTCACAGGGATGTGGGGACATCCTGGACCCTGGGGTCAGGGGGGAAATGGGGATCCCAGGATCCTGGGGATGCAGAATCCTGAGGAATTGCTGTCACACAGGGATGTGTGACCCCCCAGGATGTGTGGGGACACCCTGGGACAGTGGGGTCACGGGGGAAATGTGGATCCCAGGATCCTGGGGAATTGTCACAGGGGTGTGGGGACACCCTGGGACAGTGGGGTCACAGGGGAAATGTGGATCCCAGGATCCTGTGTGACCCCCAGGATGTGTGGGGACACCCTGGGACAGTGGGGTCACAGGGGAAATGTGCACCCCAGGATCCCGGGGATCCAAAATCCTGCGGAATCACTGTCACACAGGGATGTGTGACACAGCATGTGTGACCCCCGGGCTGTGCAATCCGCACCCTGAGCTGAGTTCACCCTGGGGGATACCCAAAGACCCCCAAACCTAAAGTGGGGCGCTCAATCCACGACACCTTGGGGGTGCTCCCACCCCCAAACCGGCCCCGGTGCCCTCCCCGGTGCCCTCCCCGGTGCCGCTCCCCCCGCTCGGAGCCGGATCCCCGCCGCTCCTCCCCGGTAGTGCGTCCCGCCCCGCCCCGCTCCGCCGCCCGGTGTCCGGTATGGTCGTGTCGGTGCTCGCCGGTGTCTGCCTGGCCGCCACCCTCGCCATGTTCGCCACCGGCTTGTGAGCGACCGGCGGCGGCCCCGGGCGGGGGCGGGGGCGATGCGGAGCGCACCGGGGCCGGTTTGGGGGTGCCGTGACGGCCGGGGGCGAGGGGGGACCCCAGGGCTGGTTTTGGGGTGCAGTGGGGACAGTGGGGCCCATGGGGGATCAATACCCCAGGGCTGATTTTGGGGTGCAGTGGGGGCAATGGGGAGGGGGATTTGCAGGTGCAGTGGGGCTCATGGGGGATGACAACCCCAGGGCTGGTTTTGGGGTGCACTGGGGACAATGGGGTTCATGGGGGATGAGAACCCCAGGGCTGGTTTTGGGGGACAGTGGGGACAGTGGGGCCCATGGGGGATGAGGACCCCAGGGCTGGTTTTGGGGTGCAGTGGGGGCAATGGGGAGGGGGATTTGCAGGTGCACTGGGGCTCATGGGGGATGACGACTCCAGGGCTGTTTTTTGGGTGCAGTGGGGACAATGGGGTTCATGGGGAATCAGGACCCCAGGACTAGTTTTGGGGGGCAATGGGGAGGGGGATTTGCGGGTGCACCGGGGCTCATGGGGGATCAGGACCCCAGGACTGGTTTTGGGGTGCAGTGGGGGCAATGGGGTTCATGGGGGATGGAGGACCCCAGGGCTGGTTTTGGGGTGCAGTGGGGGCAATGGGGTTCATGGGGAATGACAACCCCAGGGCTGGTTTTGGGGTGCAGTGTGGGGCCTGGTGGGAGGGTTGGGGGTGCAATAGTGAGGGCACCAGAGGCATTTTTGGGGGCTGCAGTGGAGGCTGTGAAGGGACACTTGGGGGAAAATAGGGAAGGTGTTAGGGCCAGTTTGGGGTGCAGTGGGGAGGGCTGTAGGGAGGTGTAATGGGGCCAGTTTGGGGTGCAGTGGGGGCCATAGGGGGGTGTAATGGGGAGGGCACCAGGGCCAGTTTGGGGTGCAGTGGGGGCCATGGGGGTGGAATTCAGAGGGCATCAGGCTGAGATTGGGGTACAGCGGGCCATGGATGGCTGGTGCAGAAGGATTGGGGGTGGTGCTGAGTCCCATTTGGGGGTGCAGGGGAGGAGGGGGGGGTGCAGTGCCTGCTGGCTGCAGAGACTGGAGCCCCCCAGCCCCAGGAGGCCGCTGCCCTCCGCCCTCCCCAGGTCTGACCTGCGCCAGATGTTGGCGACCAAAAGCGTGGAGAACATCCAGTTCCTGCCCTTCCTCACCACTGATGCCAAGTACAGCGGGCTCGGGGCTTGGGGAGGAGGGTCACACACATTTGAGGGGCAGGGGGGATCCCCCAGGCTGGAGCCAAGTGCCTGTGCCACATCCCTGCAGCAACCTGAGCTGGCTGGGCTACGGCTGCCTGAAGGGGGACGGGACAGTGATCACCGTCAACGCCATCGGGGCAGCTCTGCAGACCCTCTACATCCTGGTGTATCTCTACTACAGCCCTGCCAAGGTGGGGCAGGGGCCTGGGGCCGTGGGGAGGATGGGGGATCCTCACCCTGACTGTCCCCCTGCTGTCCCTCCCAGCGCCCCGTGCTGCTGCAGGTCCTGCTGCTCCTGGCTGTGGTGGTCACTGGCTGTGGCTACTTCAGCATGCTGGTTGATGCTGGGACACGCCTGACACGCCTGGGGCTCTTCTGCAGCGTCTTCACCATCAGCATGTACCTCTCACCGCTGGCTGACCTGGTGTGTGGGGCTTGGCAGAGCTGGGGCTTGCCAGCCCAGGCCCTGCCTGACGTTTTTCCTGCAGGCCAAGGTTGTCCGGAGCAAGTCGACGCGGTGCCTGTCCTTTCCCCTGACCGTCACCACCCTTGTGGCCTCCAGCAGCTGGACGCTCTATGGCCTGCAGCTCCATGATCCCTACATCACAGTGGGTTGGGGAGCTCCCTGGCTGGCTGTCAGTAGCCCCTGGGGTGGTGGGATGCCAAGGGGTGCCATCCCATCCCATCCCATCCCATCCCATCTCATCTCATATCCCCACCTGTCCTACTCCACTGCAGCCCCATCCCCATCCCATCCCCATTTCACCCCACTCCATCCCCACTCCACCCCTCTCCCATCCTGTCCTATCCCATTCCCACCCCATTGCCATCCCATCCCAGCCTGTCTTATCCTTCCCCTTCTCCACCTCACTGCCATCCCATCCCATTTTATCCCATCCCAACCTATCTTATCCTTCTCCATCCCTACCCCACTGCCATCCCATCCCATTTTATCCCATCCCATTTTATCCCATCCCATTTTATCCCATCCCATCCCATCCCATCCCATCCCATCCCATCCCATCCCATCCCATCCCATCCCATCCCATCCCATCCCATCCCAACCTATCCTATCCTTCTCCATCCCTACCCCACAGCCATCCCATCCCATCTTCTCCCATCCCAGCCTATCCTATCCTTCCCCATTCCCACCCCACTGCCATCCCATCCCATCCTATCCTATCCTATCCTATCCTATCCTATCCTATCCTATCCTATCCTATCCTATCCTATCCTATCCTATCCTATCCTATCCTATCCTATCCTATCCTATCCTATCCTATCCTATCCTATCCTATCCTATCCTATCCTATCCTATCCTATCCTATCCTATCCTATCCTATCCTATCCTATCCTATCCTATCCTATCCTATCCTATCCTATCCTATCCTATCCTATCCTATCCTATCCTATCCTATCCTATCCTATCCTATCCTATCCTATCCTAATCCTATCCTATCCTAATCCTATCCTAATCCTATCCTATCCTTCCCCTTCTCCACCCCACTGCCATCCCATCCCATATTATCCCATCCCAGCCTGTCCTATCCTTCCCCATCCCCACCCCACTGCCATCCCATCCCATATTATCCCATCCCAGCCTGTCCTATCCTTCCCCATCCCCACCCCACTGCCATCCCATCCCATTTTATGCCATCCCAACCTGTCCTGTCCTTCTCCTTCCCCACCCCACAGCCATCCCATCCCATTTTCTCCCATCCCATCCCAACCTATCCTATCCTTCCCCTTCTCCACCCCACAGCCATCCCATCCCATATTATCCCATCCCAACCTATCCTGTCCTTCTCCTTCCCCACCCCACTGCCATCCCATCCCATATTATTCCATCCCAACCTATTCTATCCTTCCCCATCCCTACCCCACAGCCATCCCATCCCATCTTCTCCCATCCCATCCCACCCCACCCCATTCCCCTCTCGTGGCTCAGCGCTGGCCCCTTTCAGCACAGCCAAGGGTGACAAAGCCCAGCATGATGACTGTTGATTTTAATTAATTAGCTGGGATGGGGCCAATAAGCCTCCCCCAGCACCACAGAGGGGAGGGGTACACCCACCATCCCCCCATGTCCTCCTGCAGGTCCCCAACGTGCCAGGGATCCTCACCAGCCTCGTGCGGTTCTGGCTCTTCCAGCGGTACAGACCAGAGCAGGGCAAGCCCTACAGCGCCCTGCCTGCCTGAGGGGTCCCCAGGAGCACCCCAACTCTGGCCTGGGCTGGCCCCAGTGCCACCTTGCCCACTCCCAGTGGGACATCAGCAAGGACCTGCTGCCTCCAGCCCTGCATCCTTCAGCGAAGGCCCTGCAGCTCTCAGCGAATCCTTTGGGGTGCTGTAAGCCCCTCAAACCCCAGGCTGGGAGGATAGTTTTCCGTGCCCGTGGCACCAGGATTTTGAGTGGCTTCCAGGGCTCCAGGTGTTACTTTTGTATGGATTCAAGTGCCTTTTAATAAATCAGAGACTTCCCAGTGCCTGCTTCTTGTACCTCCCTCCTGCTGCAGAGGATGCTGCAGAGAGTTCTTGGCCCTACAGCTGCTTTGGGAACTCTTTGTGGCCAGCCAGGGGGGCTCCTTATGGCCATAAAGGGGCTATTTGTGGGGTGGGCTCGTCCTGGCACACCCTGGGTGGGCATCAGCCCTGGTGTTGGGGCCACGAGGGGACCCCAGGGAAGGCAGCACTGCCCTGAGGGAGCCTCCCATCCAAAAATCTGTGCAATTGATCTGCAGCCACCACGGCAGGACGTGGGAATCGATGGAATCCTTGCTAAAACCCCGTGGATCAAGCAGGCCTGGATCAAGCATCGATGCTCTGTCAATTAACCAATTAACAGCGATCTGGAATGAAGATAGTGGATCAGTGGAAGGACAGGAGGGGCCAAACCACACAGCAGACCCCAGAGCCTCACAGGGAGAGACCCCCACCCCATCCAGGACCCCCCAGGATTGAGGAGCCTCATCCCACACTCCCCCAGGAGGGGACCCCAGGGAAGGCAGCACTGCCCTGAGCCCCCTGAGGGAACCTCCCATCACAGTGTGGGGGTAAAAATCTGTGCAATTGATCTGCAGCCACCATGGCAGGACGTGGGAATCGATGGAATCCTTGCTAAACCCCCGTGGATTGAGCAGGCCTGGACCAAGCTCTGTCAATTAACCAATTAACAGCGATCTGGAATGAAGATAGTGGATCAGTGGAGGGACAGGAGGGGCCAAATCACACAGCAGACCCCAGAGCCTTGCAGGGAGAGACCCCCACCCCATCCAGGACCCCCCAGAACTGAGGAACCTCATCCCACCGCTGGGATGAAGGATGCTGGCAGGAGCTGTGCTGTGCCTCACACACAGCCTGGAAAAATCCATATATCAAGGGACAGAGCTGAGCGTGGTGCCAAGGGAAGGAGGACGAGCTCCTGGCGTGCTCTGTCTTGCTCCCCTTGCCTGCTCTGGCTGCTCCCAGGACTCGGCCCAGCAGGGAGGAGCCCCCCAACCTCGGGAAAAAAGCTCCCAGAGCCTGGGGAAAGGGCAGCTTTCTCCACTGCCACACCTCAGTGCCCAACCGGTCGCTCCAGCTGGCCGGCTGTGACGTGGTGGCCCCTGGTGCCAGGCTGGAGGCAGCTCCCAGATGCTTCCACCAGGGAGGAGCTGCCACACAGGGCTGGGAGGAGCTCCTGGTGGCCCTGACTAGAGGCTCTGGATCGCCCTGAGTAGCCCCTGGATGACCATAGGTAGCCCCTGGGTCACCATAAGTAGCCCCTGGATGACCATAGGTAGCCCCTGGATGACCATAGGTAGCCCCAGGATGACCATAGGTAGCCCCTGGATGACCATAAGTAGCCCCTGGATGACCATAAGTAGCCCCTGGATGACCCTAAGAAGCCCCTGGATGACCCTAAGTAGCCCCTGGATGACCATAGGTAGCCCCTGGATGACCATAGGTAGCCCCTGGATGACCATAAGTAGCCCCTGGATGACCCTAAGTAGCCCCTGGATGACCCTAAGTAACCCCTGGATGACCATAGGTAGTCCCTGGATGACCATAGGTAGCCCCTGGATGACCATAAGTAACCCCTGGATAACCATAGGTAGCCCCTGGATGACCATAGGTAGCCCCTGGATGACCATAAGTAGCCCCTGGGTCACCATAAGCAGCCCCTGGATGACCATAGGTAGCCCCTGGATGACCATAAGTAGCCCCTGGGTCACCATAAGTAACCCCTGGATGACCATAGGTAGCCCCTGGATGACCATAAGTAGCCCCTGACAGTCCTGAGTAGCTCACAGAGGACTGTCAGTAGCCTCTGAGGGCCACAAGTAGCCCCTGGTGGTCCTGAGTAGCTCACAGAGGACTCAGTAGCCCCTGGATGACCACAAGTAGCCCCTGATGGTCCTGAGTAGCTCACAGAGGACTGTCAGTAGCCCCTAGATGACCACAAGTAGCCCACAGAAGGCTGTTAGTAGCCCCCAGAGCACTGCTGGCCTCGTGCTGTGCTCCTGACCCCACCAAATCCAGGGCAATGTCACCCCCCCCACAACCACCCGTATGCCAACGAGTGCTGGCAGCTTCCCACTCTGCTCCCACCAGCCCTTGCTGCTCAGGAAACAGCTAATTAGCTGCTCCTGCTAATTAACCCGAGTCCTCCCAACTGCTCCTTTCTGCAGAGGATACACAGCTGCTAATTAAAATCCCAAAGTCCTTTGGCTGGAGGAGCTGCTGGCTGCCAGGGCAGGAGGTTCCTGCACAGGGGGTCAGAGAGCAGAAATGGGGGTCCCCTCCCCAGACAGAGCCCCCCACCACAATTTAAAGGCTGTGTTGCCCACCCCACCCTACCAATCCCTCTCCTCCTTGCCGGGAGGGATGGGATGAGGCTCCTGCAGCTCCCACCTGCCGGGGTGAACCACACCTGAGCCGGGAATGCGTCTGGGGCCAAGTTCCAGACAGCCCAGCGAGGGACAGCAGCGGCTGTGGGGGGCTTCCCCAGAACCCCCAAACCCTCCCCTCACACCGGGAGAACCAAGGGGTTCCTCCGGGTGGTTTCCCGAGGCTCCCACTGCCCGCAGCCCCCGGGCTTTTTTGGGGCCCTGTCCCACGGCCAGCACGGCACCAGGGCTTTCTTGGGGTCCCCGGGCTTTCTTGGGGTCCCCGGGCTTTTTTGGGGTCCCGGAGTCCCACAGCAGCATGGCCAGCACAGCACTGGGGGTTTACTGGGGTCCTGGGGCTTTCTTGGGGTCCCAGGGTCCCACAACAGCATGGCCAGCATGGTCCTGGGGCTTTCTTGGGGTGCTGAGGCTTTTTTGGGGTCCTGGGGTCCCACAGCAGCATGGCCAGCACAGCACCGGGGCTTTACTGGGGTCCCGGGGTTTTCTTGGGGTCCCTGGGGCTTTTTTGGGGTCCCGGGGTCCCACAGCAGCACGACAAACACCGTCCCGGGGCTTTCTTGGGGTCCTACAGCAGCATGGCCAGTACGGCACTGGGCCTTTACTGGGGTCCCGGGGCTGTTTTAGGGTCCCGGGGCTTTATTGGGGTCCCGGGGCTTTCTTGGGGTCCCGGGGTCCCACAACAGCATGGCCAGCACGGTCCTGGGGCTTTTTTGGGGTCCCGGGGCTTTCTTGGGGTCCCCAGGCTTTTTTGGGGTCCCAGGCTCCCACAACAGCATGGCCAGCACAGTCCTGGGGCTTTCTTGGGGTCCCTGGGCTTTCTTGGGGTCCCGGGATCCCACAGCAGCATGGCCAGCACCCCGGGGTCCCAAAACAGCAGGGCCAGCACCGTCCCTGGGCTTTATTGGGGTCCCAGTGTCCCACAGCAGCACGGCCAGCACTGTCCCAAGGCTTTATTGGGGTCCCAGGGCTTTACTGGGGTAGCTGGGTTTTATTGGGGTCCCGAGGCTTTATTGGGTTCCCGGGTATTTTTGGGGGTCCTGGGCTTTATTGGAGTCCTGGGGTTTTACTGGGGTCCTGGAGCTTTATTGGGGTCCCAGAGCTTTATTGGGGTCCCGAGGCTTTTTCAGGGTCCTGGAGCTTTATTGGGGTCCCAGTGTCCCACAGCAGCACGGCCAGCACCGTCCCAAGGCTTTATTGGGGTCCCAGGGCTTTACTGGGGTAGCCGGGTTTTATTGGGGTCCTGAGGCTTTATTAGGCTCCCGGGTTTTTTTGGGGGTCCTGGGCTTTATTGGTGTCCTGGGGTTCTGGGGTCCCGGGGTTTTATTGGAGTCCCGGAGCTTTATTGGGGTCCTGAGGCTTTATTGGGGTCCCAGGGTTTTTTTGGGGCCACACAACAGCAGGGCCAGCACCGTCATGAGGCTTTATTTGAGTCCAAGGGCTTTCTTGGGATCCCGAGGCTTTATTGGGGTCCAGAGGCTTTATTGGGGTCCTGGGGCTTTATTGGGGTCCCGAGGCTTTATTGGCCTCCCAGGTTTTTTTGGAGGTCCTGGGCTTTATTTGAGTCCTGGGGTTCTGGGGTCCCGGGGTTTTACTGGGGTCCAGAGGCTTTATTGTGGTCCCAGGGGTTTTTTGGGGCCACACAACAGCAGGGCCAGCACCGTCACGAGGCTTTATTTGAGTCCAAGGGCTTTCTTGGGATCCCAAGGCTTTCTTGGGGTCCCGGGGCTTTATTGGCCTCCCAGTTTTTTTGGGGGGTCCTGGGCTTTATTTGAGTCCTGGGGTCCCGGGGTTTTACTGGGGTCCCGAGGCTTTATTGGGGTCCAGAGGCTTTATTGGGGTCCCAGGGCTTTTCTGGGGTCTTGGAGCCTTCCTGGGGTCCCAGGGCTTTATTAGGGTCTCGGGGTCACACAGCAGCACGGCCAACACCATCCCGGGGCTTTACTGGGGTCTCGGGGCTTTATTGCAGTCCCGGGGCTTTACTGGGCTGCGAGGTTTTTTGGGCTCCCGGGATTTTTTTGGCCTCCCGGGGCATTTTTGGGCTCCCAGAGCTTTTTCAGTCTCCAGGGGCATTACTGAGCTGCGAGGTTTTTTGGGGTCCCGACGCTTTTTTGGGGTGCCGGGGCATTACTGGTCTCCGAGGCGCAGGCCCCGCCGCCGCAGGTCGGCCCTGGCCGCCCTGATGTGCTCCTGCAGCTCGGCCGCCGCCTCCTCGCAGTCGTTGAAGGTGGCCAGGCGGTAGCCCACGGTGGCCAGCGAGTAGCAGCCGAAGGCCACCAGCAGATAAACGGGCAGCGGCAGCAGCGCCCGGCGGAGCGGGGCCGGTGGCTGAAGCCCCGGTGGAGCCAAAGCCAGCGCGGCCCAGGCCGAGCCCAGCAGGGCGAGCGCGCAGAGCCACTGGGCCAGTTTGGTCATGGCGGCCTGAGGGGAGAGACGGACATGGGGGAGCCGTGAGGGGAAAGGGAAAAAGGCGGGAAAAGTGAGGCGGGGGGAGGGGAGCCGGGAGAGACGGAGAGCCCCGCGCCGGGCTCAGGCTCCCAATTCCCGCTGTGCCTCCTCCCGCCGCACCGAGCCCTCCGCAAAGACCCATCCGCACCCGTACCTGGCTCGGTGCCGCTCCCGGTGCCGGTGCCGCTCCCCGCCCGGTGCCGAGATGGGCGGTAACGGCAGCGCCGCGCGCGGGGGATGATGGGAGTTGTAGTTCTGAGGAGAGGCGGCAGCGAGCGCCCCCTGCTGGCGGGGCGGGGTGCGGCATCACCGGGACCCGGCCGGGAACCCACCGGGAACCCCCCGGGACCTCTCCGGGACCACTCCAGGAACCCCCCGGGACCCCTCCGGGAGCTCTACGGGACCCCCTGCGGGAGCCCCCCGGGATCTCTCCGGGACCACTCCGGGAGCCCCCCGGGACCACTCCGGGAGCCCCCCGGGAACCCCCCGGGACCTCTCCGGGACCACTCCAGGAGCACTCCGGGAATCGTCCGGGAGCCCCCCGGGACCCCCACCCCCGGAGCCCTCCGGGAGCCCCCCGGGATCTCTCCGGGAACCCCCCGGTAGCCCTCCGGAAGCCCACCGGGAACCCCCCGGGACCCCCTCCGGGAGCCCCCCGGGACCTCCCCGGGAGCCCTCCGGGACCACTCCGGGACCTCTCCGGGACCACTCCGGGACCTCTTCGGGAGCCCCTGCGGGAGCCCCCCGGGACCCCTCCGGGAACCCCCCGGGACCCCTCCGGGACCACTCTGGGACCTCTCCGGGAGCCCCCCCGAGAACTCTACGGGACCCCCTCCGGGACTCCTCCGGGACCTCTCCGGGAGCCCCCCGGGACCACTCCGGGAACCCTCCGGGACCCCTCCGGGAGCCCGGGTCCGGCCCCGTTGCCGGTGCCGCAGGAAGCACCGGGCTTTGTCGGTCACCGCCGGTCCCGCAGGAAGCATCTGGTTTCCTCCACGTCCTGCCGGAGGGGTGCCAGGGACCCGGCGTGGGAGCGAGTCCCGCCCGCCCTCCCACGGCTGCGGGAACCGCACGGTTCCCACCCCCCCGCCACAACCGGGCAGCCCCGGTGGCCTCCCCCAGCCCGGTGTCCTGCGGAGGGCACGCACGAGTGTGTGATGCCCTGCCAAATCCAGCGGCCATGAGCCACTGGGACCACCACAGCCCCCTGCCCACTCCAATCTGCTCCAATCCTGGCTCCACTGGGATCTTCCTCTGGGCAGACAAAATTCCAGCAGCATTTTGGCCACCCCCACCTCACCTGGGCACTTCCAGCAGGGTCAGGAACCCGGCTGGCAGCTGGCACAGGGGACAAGAAGCTACAAAGAAATGGCTTTATTGGGCAGGGGGGAGTCCCAGGTCGGCCACAGGGAGGGGGTTGCCCCAGGAAGGGGCAGCAGGACATCAATTTCTCTTCCTGCCCTTGCCAACAGCCTTGGCAGGAGGAGCGACGGGCGCTGTGGACTGGTAGAGAGTGGAGGAGATCTTGTTGATGTAGTAGAGACCCACCATGGAGAAGATGAGGCTACGAGGGCACAAGGGAAGAGGCTGCTCAGCTGCTGGGGGCAGGAACACGCCAGGCTCACCCCAACACCTTGACCCTGGGTCCCCCTGCCCTTCCCAAACACCCTCCCTCGGATCCCATTGTGCTGCCCTTCCTAAACCTACAATTTTCCCTTTGATCCCACTTTCCTGCCGTTCCTAAACCATCCACTCCCCTGCCCTTCCTAAACCAACAATTTCCCCTCGGATCCCAATCCCCTTCCTAAACCAACAACTTCCCCTTGGATACCACTTCCCTGCCCTTCCTAAACCAACAATTTCCCCTTGGATCCCACTCCCCTTCCTAAACCAACAACTTCCCCTCGGATCCCACTGTGTTGCCATTCCTAAACCAACAATTTCCCCTTGGATCACACTCCCCTGCCCTTCCTAATCAAACAACTTCCCCTTAGATCCCATTGTGCTGCCCTTTCTAAACCAACACTTTCCCCTTGGATCCCACTGCCCTTCCTAAGCCAACAATTTCCCCTCGATCCCACTCCCCTTCCTAAAGCGACAATTTCCCCTCGATCCCACTCCCCTGCCCTTCCTAAACCAACAATTTCCCCTTGATCCCACTCCCCTTCCTAAAGCGACAATTTCCCCTCAGATCCCACTCCCCTGCCATTCCTAAACCAACAATTTCCCCTCGATCCCACTCTCCTGCCCTTTCTAAACTAACAATTTCCCCTTGGATCCCACTCTCCTGCCCTTCCTAAACCAACAATTTCCCCTTGGATCCCACTACCCTTCCTAAACCAACAATTTCCCCTCAGATCCCACTGTGCTGCCATTCCTAAACCAACAATTTCCCCTCGGATCCCACTGTACTGCCATTCCTAAACCAACAATTTCCCCTTGGATCCCACTGCACTGCCGTTCCCACCTGAGGCCCCCTGGCACTCCTGGCCCTGCCCAGCCTCCTGCCCCGCTCCCGGTGTCACCCCTCGGGGTCCCCGTGTCACTCCCCACACCCAGGGCAGCTCTGGACGTACCAGGTGGTCACACAGACCCGGTGGATGAGGCCAGAGGCGAACAGGGCCAGCAAGAGGCAGGTGAGGACTGTGGAGAGCCAGGAGACACATGATGCTGCAGGTGATGGGGGGGCCATGGCTGCAGCACCAAAATTTCCCCCAAACCCAAAAAAAGCTCAAGAGGAGCTGCCACAGTTCCAGGGCAGGGCTGGGACCACCCAGTGCCACTGCTGGAGCACCCCCAGCCCTTTGGACACCGCCGTGTCCCCGCTCCCCTCCTGGGCTCCCACAACACTTACTCTCGGGGAATATCTTGGCCTGGAAGCCCTTCCCGAAGATGAGGTTCTCCAGGTTGTTGAAGGCCTGGTTGTGGAGTTAAGGGACAGAACGGGATCCTGCTGTCCTGCTCCCATTTCCCACCCTGCTTACTCCAGCCCCACTCCTGCCCTCTGGACCTGCTCCCCAGCAGCCCCCTGGTCCCGTTGCCAGCCCCCTGGTCCTGTTACCAGTCCCCTGGTCCCATTATCAGCCCCCTGGTCCTGTCGCCAACCCCATGGTCCCATTGCCAGCCCCCTGGTCCTGTTACCAGCCCCCTGGTCCCTTTCCCAGCCCTCTGGTCCCGTTGCCAACCCCCTGGTCCCCTTGCCAGCCCCCTGGTCCTGTCCCAGCCCGCTGGTCCCGCTGGCCACCAGCCCCTGGTCCCGTTGCCAGCCCCCTGGTCCCGTTGTCAGCCCCCTGGTCCCATTCCAAGCCCCCTGGTCCTGTTGCCAGCCCCCTGGTCCCGTTACCAGCCCCCTGGTCCTGTTGCCAGCCCCCTGGTCCTGTCGCCAAACCCATGGTCCCGTTGTCAGCCCTCTGGTCCCATTCCCAGCCCCCTGGCCCCATTGCCAGCCCCCTGGTCCCGTTGCCAGCCCCCTGGTCCCGTTCCCAGCCCCCTGATCCCATTGCCAGCCCCCTGGTCCCATTGCCAGTCCCCTGGTCCTGTCGCCAACCCCATGGTCTCGTTCCCAGCCCCCTGGTCCCGTTGCCAGCCCCCTGGTCCCATTGCCAGTCCCCTGGTCCTGTTGTCAGCCCCCTGGTCCCATTGCCATTCCCCTGGTCCCGTCCCAGCCCCCTGGTCCCGTTCCCAGCCCCCTGGTCCTGTTACCAGCCCCCTGGTCCTGTTGCCAGTCCCCTGGTCCTGTTGCCAGTCCCCATGTCCCATTGCCAGCCCCCTGGTCCCATTGCCATCCCCATGGTCCCATTGCCTGCCCCCTGGTCCTGTCCCAGCCCCCTGGTCCTGCTGGCCACCAGCCCCCTGGTCCCGTTGCCAGTCCCCTGGTCCCGTTTCCAGCCCGCTGGCCCCGCTGGGCACCGGCCCCGCCGCTGTGCCCGGGGATGCAGTGAGGGAGCAGACGAAGAGCGCCGAGCCCAGCAGCCCGCCCTGGATGGTGAGCCACTCGGTGGAGGCCAGCTGCCGGCTGTACATCTGCATCCCGGCGAACAGCAGCAGCGACAGCAGCGACGACAGCGCCAGCGACGTGCCCGTACCTACGGCTGAGCCCCGGGACCGACTCAGCACCGGCACCGGAGCCAGACCCGGGGCTGAGCTCAGCCCGGAGCCATAGGGCTGTGCCGTGCCCCCTTTCCCCCAGCCCAGCTGCCCCTCCGCTCCCGTTAACCCCGTTATCCCCGTGCCCCAAATACCCTCCTGCCCCATCACAGCTCCATCCCCTGTCCCCCGTTACCCCCCGTTACCCCCCCGTTATCCCCGTGCCCCAAATCAACCTCCATCCCCTCTCCCCCGTTACCCCCCCCGTTATCCCCGTGCCCCAAATACCCTCCCGCCCCGCCACACCTCCATCCCCTCTCCCCCGTTACCCCCCGTTATCCCCGTACCCCGGTACCGCCCGTTCCCGTTCCCCCCGCTATCCCCGGTACTCCTCCCGCCTCCGTTACCCCCCTGCCCCGTTACCCCTGATGCCCCCAGCATTCCCATCACCGCCCGTGTCTCCGTGCCCCCCATTCCCCCGGTTCCCCGTTACCCCCCGGTACCCATGGTGCCCACAGCCGGTCCCGGTCCGCTCCCGGTACCGCCGTTCTGCGCATGCGCGCTCCGCCCGCCGCGCAGCGCCGCCACGGCAGCAGCGCCACTGCGCATGCGCGGGAAGAGGTGGGGCGCCCCCCGGCGGGCGGGAGTGGCACTGCAGCTCCACGCCGCACCGGAGCGCCCTCTGGCGGCGGGGACGGGAACAGCGCGGGGACGGGACACCGGTACCGGCACCGGGAGCGGCACCGGGAGCACCGCCGGTACCGCTGCCATGCTCATCCTGCCCTCAGCCCGTCTCCAGCGCCGTTCCCCGAGCGTGGCTCATCGGGGGATTCTCAGGAATGCGGCCAGAGCATCCCCGCGCTCCCCTGCCCGCCACACCGGTGCCGCCCCTCCGGTGTCTCCACCGCCCTCCGGTGCCGGCGGGGCGGGCGCCGCCGAGCATGCGCGCCGCCGCTCCCCGCCCTCCCCCCGGCTCCGCCGCTCCCTGCAACACACCGGGGCGATCGCGGCCGCCGCTGCTGCCGCCGCCGCCGCCGCAGACACGGGCGCCGGTAACGGAGCCATGGCCGAGGGCGAGGACCTGCAGACCTTCACCTCCATCATGGACGCGCTCGTCCGCATCAGCGTGAGCGGCCGCGGTGGCGGCGGGGGGGCGGACGGGGCTCCTCCGGGACCGGGTCGCCGTGGCAACGCGGCGGGGACCGGGGGGGAGGGCGATGCCCTTGAGGAGTGGGCGGGCAGCGGACCCGCACCCCGACTCACCGCAGCGACCCCCGGGGAGGGCAGTCGGTCACCGGGACCCCCCCACACCGAGCCGTGACCGAGCACCGGGAGCACCGGCTGCGGAGAGGGCGGCCGCATCCCGGCCCCGATCTCGGTGGTCAGCCCGGTCCTGGCGCTGGTTCGGGCCCTGATGTGGGTCCAGCCCCAGTCCCCATCTCCATCCTGGCCCCCATCTTCGTCTCCATCCCAGTTCCAATCCCACACCCATCCCAGTCCTCATCCCCATCCCACCCCTGGGCACATCCTGGCACTATTCCCAGTCTGGTCCCCATCCCCATCCCACCCCTGGGCACATCCTGGCGCTATTCCCAGTCTGGTCTTCATCCCCATCCCAGTCCCCATCCCAGCCCTGGGCCCATCCTGGTGCTGATCCCAGTGGTGGCCCCAGTCCCCATTCCACTGCCAGTCCTGATCCTGGTCTGATCCTGGCCCTGCTCTGTGCCCAGCCCCAGTCCCATCCCCATTCCAGGCCTGGGTCCCATCCAGGTTCTGATCCCAATCCTGGTCCTGATTCTGGCCCAGCTGCTGCTCCAGGCCTGATCCTGCCCCTGATGCTGGGCCCAGTGCTCGCCCCTATCCCAGTGCTGGTCCTGACACTGGCCCTGCTCCTGGCTGTGGTTCCAGTGCTGACTCTGGTCTTGGCCCTGCTGCTGCTCCCAGCTCCATCCCTCATCGCAGTGGCAGCCCTGATCCTCCTCCTGCTGCTGCTCCTGGTGTTTGTCCTCGTCCCGTTCCTGGTGCTGCTCCCAGGCCTCATCATTGCCCTGATGATGGTCCCAGTCCTTGTCTCCATCCCAGCCCGGGTCCCAGTACTGGTCCTGATCCTGGTGCTGATGCTGGCCCTGCTGGTAATTCCACGCCCTGGTGCTGGTCCTGGCCCTGGTGCTGGTTCTGGCCCTGGTGCTGGTCCTGGTCTTAGCCCTGATGTTGATCCTGCCCCTAGTGCTGGTCCTGGCCCTGGTGCTGATCTCAGCCCTGGTGCTGTTCCTGGCCCTGGTGCTGGTCCTGGCCCAGATCCCAGCCATAGTGATGGTCCCAGCTGTGATTCTGATCCTGTCCCTGGTGCTGGTCCTGGTCCTGGTGCTGTTCCTGGCCCTGGCCCTAGTGCTGGTCCCAGGCCCTGATCCCAGCCATGGTGCTGGTCCTGGTTCTGGTGCTGCTCCTGGTCCTGGTCTTAGCCCTGACATTTATCCTGTCCCTGGTGCTGGTCCTGGCCCTGGTGCTGGTGTCCTGGTCCTGGCCCAGATCCTGGCCCTGGTGCTGGTCCTGGCCCAGATCCTGGCCCCGGTGCTGATCTCAGCCCCGGTGCTGGTCCCATCTGCTCCTGGCCCTGGTGCTGATCTCAGCCCCGGTGCTGGTCCTGGCCCTGGTGCTGATCTCAGCCCTGGTGCTGGTTCTGGCCCTGGTACTGGTCCTGGCCCTGGTGCTGGTCTCAGCCCTGACATTGATCCTGTCCCTGGTGCTGGTCCTGGCCCAGATCCTGGCCCTGGTGCTGATCTCAACCCTGGTGCTTGTCCTGTCCCTGATTCTGATCCTGGTGCTGATCTCAGCCCTGGTGCTGGTCCTGGCCCTGGTGCTGATCTTAGCCCTGACATTTATCCTGGTCCTGGTGTCCTGGCCTTGGCCCAGATCCTGGCCCTGGTGCTGGTGTCCTGGCCCAGATCCTGGCCCTGGTGCTGGTCCTGGCCCTGGTGCTGGTCCTGGCCCAGATCCTGGCCCCGGTGCTGATCTCAGCCCCGCTGCTGGTCCTGGCCCTGGTGCTGATCTCAGCCCCGGTGCTGGTCCCCTCTGCTCCCGGCCCCGCTGTGTCCCGGCGGGTGACGCTCCCGCTCTCTCCGCAGACCAGCATGAAGAACATGGAGCGGGAGCTGGTGTGCCCGGTGTGCAAGGAGATGTACAAGCAGCCGCTGGCACTGCCCTGCACCCACAACGTGTGCCACGTGTGTGCCAGCGAGGTGCTGCTGCAGCACGGCCACCTCTACTGCGACCCCACCTCCGAGCCCACCTCGCCCGCGGCCACCCCGTCCACCCGCAGCCCCCGCCTGGGCCGCAGGGCTGTCCCCAAACCCGACCGGCTGGACCGCCTCCTCAAGTCAGGTGGGGACAGCCAGAGGGGACAGAGATGGCTGGAGAGGACAGGAGTGGCTGAGGAGATGGGGACAGAGATGGTTTGAGGGGTTTGGGACAGCCAGAGGAGATGGGGAGAGGGATGGCTGGAGGGGTCTGGGACAGCTGGATGGGACAGAGATGGCTGGAGGGGTCTGGGGCAGCCAGAGGGGACAGGAATGGATGGAGAGGACAGGAGTGACCGAGGGGATGGGGACAGGGATGGCTGGAGGGGTCTGGGACAGCCAGAGGAGATGGGGACAGGGATGGCTGGAGGGGTCTGGGACAGCCAGAGGAGATGGGGACAGGGATGGCTGGAGGGGTTTGGGACAGCCAGAGGGGACAGAGATGGCTGGAGGGGTTTGGGACAGCTGGAGGAGATGGGGACAGGGATGGCTGGACGGATTTGGGACAGCCAGAGGGGATGGGGACAGCTGGAGAAGACAGAGATGGCTGGAGGAGGTGGGGATGGCTGGAGGGGACAGGGATGGCTGGAGGGACTGGGAGCAGGACCAACAGGAAGGGATGGAGGTGGGGATGGGGACAGCACCCTGGGCTCCCCCTGGGGAGGGCTGAGGGACTCTGTGCCCTGCTGACCCCCACCCCGCCTCCCTCCCACAGGTTTCGGCACCTACCCGGGGCGCAAGCGGGGTGCCATGCACCCCCAGACCGTCAGCTTCCCGTGCCCCGCCTGCCAGCGGGACGTGGACCTGGGCGAGCGGGGCCTGGGCAGCCTCTTCCGCAACCTGACGCTGGAGCGGGTGGTGGAGCGCTACCGGCAGACCATCAACATCAGCGCGGCCATCATGTGCCAGTTCTGCAAGCCCCCGCAGCTGGAGGCCACCAAGGGCTGCACGGAGTGCAAGTCCAGCTTCTGCAACGAGTGCTTCAAGCTCTACCACCCCTGGGGCACGCAGAAAGCCCAGCATGAGCCCACGCCCCCCACCCTCACCTTCCGCCCCAAGGTGGGTCCTCACACCCCAGTTAAGGTGTGGGAGATGGGATTGTTCAGCCTGGAGAGGAGAAGTTTGGGGTTACCAAATTGTGGCTTTCTGGTGTCTGAAGGCAACTTTTGAAAAGATGGGGTGAAACCATTTACAAGAGTCTGGAATGACAGGACAAAGGGCAACGGGTTCAGATTGAAAGAGAATAAATTTAGGTTAGATATTAGTAAAAAATGATTCTAGTGAGGGTGATGTGGTTCTGCAACAAGTTGCCCATGGAAGTTGTGAATGCCACACCCCAGTGGGGTCTGCTCGGGGATGTCCCTGCTCGTGTCACACGGGTTACAACAAGATAATCCTCAAGGTTCCCTTCCAAGCGCAGCCATTCTGTGATTCTGAAGATCTGGGGTGCAGGGCTGGGACTCTGTGGGGCTGGAGGGGGGTGCAGAGCCCCGCTGAGCCCCGCTGTGCCCGCGCAGGGGCTGATGTGCCCGGAGCACAAGGAGGAGGTGACTCACTACTGCAAGACCTGCCAGCGGCTGGTGTGCCAGCTCTGCCGCGTGCGCCGCACCCACACCAGCCACAAGATCACCCCGGTGCTCAGCGCCTACCAGGCCCTCAGGGTAAGGGCTCCTGGGGCCAGGCTGGGGCTCTGGGGGGAATTGGGGGCACCACAGAGCCCCAGTGCAGATTGGGGGGGTGTGGGGCGGGGGCTGCTGGCAGCACATCTCATCACCTTCCTGCAGGAGAAGCTGACAAAGAGCCTCGCCTACATCCTGAGCAGCCAGGACACGGTGCAGACCCAGATTGCTGAGCTGGAGGAGACAGTGAAGCACACGGAGGTAAGGGCAGAGGATGCCCATCTGTCCCTGAGTTGTCCCTAAGTCCCCTCTGATCCCAGGACATGCCACACGCTGACCCTGCCGTGTCCCTGCCCGGCAGGTGAACGGCTCACAGGCCAAGGAAGAGGTGTCCCAGCTGATCCAGGGGCTCTGTGCCATGCTGGAGGAGAAGCGGGCCACACTGCTGCAGGCCATCGAGGAGTGCCAGCAGGAGCGGCTGGCCAGCCTGCACGGCCAGATCCGGGAGCACCAGGCCATGCTGGAGAACTCGGGCATGGTGGGCTATGCCCAGGAGGTGCTGAAGGAGACCGACCACCCCTGCTTTGTCCAGGCTGCCAAGCAGCTGCACAACAGGTACAACAGGGGCTGGCAGGGGTGTTGGGACCCTCTGGTGCCCGAGGTGGCACCTTGGTATCCCCGCTCTCCTGTGCTGCAGGATCCTCAGGGC